GATCATAACTGTGCTAGTTAAAATAAAATCTGTCAAGTGCGAGTTGAACTCACACGCCGAGGGTTTTTTACATAAAATAATCTATTGATAGATTTTTCTTTAGATACAAGTAAATCTTTATTTTAACATGAAGATATGAGATGTCCAACGGACAAAGTCGCACCAAAAAGATACCTTAAAAACATTAATTTTAATACGGAACTTTAAAAATAGGATTAAATAGATGCCCATCAATTTCACAAATATTTTTAAGTTTGAATCTGCTGAAATCTCTAAAAATTTAAATTTCTAATGACCAAAACAACGGTATTCTTATTTTAAAAAATATTCAAAGCACCTCTCTAGCATTGGCTATAATTATTATAGTATGTATGTAATATTTTTTTAATTTCTTTTTTATTATTCCCTTTAAATAAATACGTGTCGCCGATTTCTGTATCCTTATTATACTTATCACAGACTAATTTGGGAGATATCTTGAAATTTGGCTCACATGTACAAATAAATAAAATTTGGAATAGACTAAGACATAGTCCATTGTCATTCTATGACAATAAACAAAATTTCTGTCAGGAATTTTATCTATATAATGACATATTTTTAAAGATTCTGTTTCAGCCTTAGCTACAGAACCCTAAGAATTATTAAGTCTGCCACATGTAGGTACGTTTTGTAAATTGTACATTAAAGTTACATTTATAAATAAATATCGCAAAACATAAATGAGCCAAAATCAACGTCATCCTTTTCTTTGACGGTAGCAACTGAAATAACTTCGCTAAAACAAATAATGCAGACAGAAAATTTCACTTCATTGATGTCAGCGTCACTTTAACATGTTACCTACGTATGTTTCCAGACAACGTTTTTCATCAGTTACACATACGTCATATCTGTTCTAATTAGGCACCAGAGTAGGTGTTGTAATTAGCGAAAACATTGAACTTGGGACGTGAATGTTTGCCAAGACTCATCAAGTTTCCTCGATCAGGTGTACATTTTCGTACAAACCTTTCCATGAGTCGAAAGAATATTTGTCATTCAAGTTTGCACCTTAACTTCTTTGCAGGTAGAAGCAAAAATGTATGAATGATTGCATGTCAGCATTGATGGAAAGGACACTAAAACACAATCATTATTGGCAATATACCAATGACAGTAAGTCGCGTATGTTATACGGAGTCAGGTGAAAAAGTAATGGCCACTAATGTTTTGTTGTCACAACGCACCATTGCATTGGTCATACTTATATTTTATTGTACGAGGTTTGTCCGGAAAGTACGTATAAAAGTTTTTTAAAAATTTTATTTTACAATTATTCAGGTAAATCAATTTTATCCCCTTCAAAGTACTCCCCCTGTGACATAATGCACTTGTGCCAACGCCGTTTCCACTGTGAGAAGGCTCCTTGAAAGTCCTCTGGTTGTAGGTTTCTCAGCTGCCCCGTCGTAGCTTTTTTTATCTCATTTATGTCCCCCAAATGCCGCCCCCGAAGTACCAATTTGGTTTTTGGGAACAAGAAGAAGTCACACGGGGCCAAATCCGGCGAATAGGGGGTGTTCGGTCACCGTAATGGAATTTTTACTCAAAAACTCACGGAACGATCTTGGCGCAAATTTTTTTTCATTTGAAGTTCGTTTCTTAGAATTTCGTGGACCACGGTTTTGCCCAAATTAAGCTCTTCAGCCACCTGTCTGACCGTTAAACGACGGTCCCCATTAACACAAGTTCGAATTCTTTCCACGTTTTCGTCGGAATGTGAAGTGGAAGGACGTCCTGAACGTGGGTCATCTTGAACGCTTTCTCGGCCCTCTCTGAATCTTTTTAGCCACTTGTGGACGGTTGGTTCCTTCACAGCATCATCCCCATAAACTGTTCTGAGATCGGCAAAAATTTCACGGCCATTCTTGCCGAGTTTCGAGAGAAACTTGATTACGACGCGCTGCTCTTCAACGGAAGCGGGCTCCATGCCGACGGGGTTTCGTTAAGAGGTAACTTCACAGATGGCGTGACAAGCCAGTTCGCACCGCACGGCGGTCAGACCAGAACTGAAGCATTGTTAGGGACATAAGGAAGGGGTCCTGCGCTTACCTGGCCTCCCCACTCCTCTTTCTCGCATTCCAGAACACTTTTATACGAACTTTCCGGACAGACCTCGTACAACAAGTGTAGAAAATTGAGAGAACTTTCAGCTGGAATTAAAATATCACTTATATATCCTAATATATTAAATAAACAACGGATTATATGAAAGACTTAAGATTTAAGTTTTAACAAATAGGTATATATTTTTATACAACTACGTTCTTCAAACAATTTCATCATTTTATTTGCCATTCTGTTAAAAATTGGTGAAGATCAAAACAGACAAATTTTTGGAAAGTGATAACTGAACAATAAAGAATGACTTAGTGAATTTCTTTTTTGCTCAAAGAGTTGCCATTCTCAAGCTTTAAATAACATTACCAATCCCAAAAATATGATATTTGTTGTTAATTCATTTCTGTCAGAAGTTACACTAATTGTACTTTTCAAATAAAAAACAACGCCTTTAAAATATACACTTGTATTAATTAATGAACATAACACAATATCCTATTTAATATTATAAATTCGAAGTTTAATGGACGTATGGATCTTTGTTACTCTTTTATGCAAAAACTACCTACTGGATTTAAAATTAAATTTAGTACACGGGTAATTTATATGGTAATTTAGTATATAGGATACTTTATACACTGATTCACACAAGTGAAACAGTACGGGATATAGTTACTAAATAATATATTACTTCATAGCCATTAGCTTCACGGCAGATATGCTTGAGACAATCGAATAGACAAATAACTATTAGATAAAAGCATTTTTATCTTATTTTTAAAGTACCTAATTATATTAAAAAAGTTTATTTGCTACTATTAAAATATTTTAATGTAACTATTACTAGAACACGCATGTATGTAGGTACTATTAAAGCGAATTTATGCGTTTACGTATTTATTCAATTCACATTTTCCAAGAACAAATGGTCCGCTGAGCCGAATTCACCGCTGTAGTAACTTACTGTGGCATTCTAAAAAAAATATTAACATCAAATCAGCTAGCTCCTCGACTGCATCTCCGTTTGATGACTAACTAAGAACACAATGCATCGCCACTCGTTTTCATCTCACGAATATAAGGTAAGAGATAAGAGGCAAAGGAAACCAAAGTGTCGCGCAACCAGCGTAATTGGAAGAAAATTTGAAATGCAACCCTATTTATTACCTCCAGAAAACGTAATAGTGATTACTTACGATAGTAACTACGAAGCATATGAATAGAATTTTACTAAATCGCAACTTAACACATATTTTATGTACTAATTTACAGGCCGTTGGATACAGTTAGACGGATAAGTGGTGATAGGAAAATAAATAAATGAAGAGACAATATCTCGAAACGATTAATTAAGTAGGTATGTATAGTTTCAAGATATCCGCAAAAGAACCAACGTAACCGAAATAGCCCGAAGGATAAGCGAGCTGAAGTGGTAATGGGCTAGTCATATAGCTCGCAAAACCGATAACTGATGAAGAAAAAAGATTCTTGAGTGGCGATCTCGTACGGGCAAACGCGGTGTAGAACGACCCCCAATAGTGACGACCTGAAATGCATTGAAGGGAGTCAGTGAATGCAGGTAGCTCAGGAGCGTTCTTTATGGCAGTCTCTGGGAAAGGCTTATGTCCAGCAGTGGACGGATAATGGCTGAAATGATGATGATGCATAGTTTCAGTTGAACATTAGAACATTTTCAGTGACATGTTCAAACGGTATAAAGTGTTCAGTAATATTGGCAAAAGTTACATCACTACACGGAAGCGTACGCGCACGTTCGAATTGTTCAGCTAATCCCCACCCCCCGCGCTTTCACTCCCCCGCCGGCACCTTGGATATTTCTGTCCGCTGCAAAGCTCAATGCCACGAGGCCAACAACACTGGCTCAATGAGATTACTCATTACACATCAATTGTAATTAGTTAACAAAATGACGTGCGCGTTGAAAACGTTATAGTAAATAAACGCTATAGTAAATATTTTTATTATAATGCATGTTGCTCAAACACATAACTATGTGAGGACTAAAGATGGAGTTAAACTAAAAGAACTGTGCGGAAATAAAATGAAGACGAGAAACTAAAGATTTTTTTATACAACTTAGAATGGCAAACAAACTGACGGCCCACCTGATGGAAAGTGGTAACTGTCGCCTATAGACATGAGCACTACCATAGATATAACAAAGTATACTGTTTCACCCATGATACCTTGTTATTCCTCTGTACCCTGTAAATTTACTGCCATATTCACACTTCAAACCGAAACACAGACATGCAAACACAACTACTTCACGGTAAAAACACAAACGCGACAAAGGTGCCCAAGCAAACGATTTTTTTACAAAGTCTCCCTCTGGTGCAAAAATGCTTTTAAAATGCTAATAGTTATGTAATTTTTAATATTATTTATTTACTTGGTACTCGTTTTTTAGACAGACATTCCATGTTGTTAACACATAAAAAACGTTAAAGTGTATAATATGCGATTAAATTCACGTAAAAGGGTAGATCCCTTATAAAGCAATTGCTTTCGAAAATTTGCATGCACATTTCATTGTCTTTATTGTATTATTAATTTTTTTAATCGCCCTTTAACTCTCTGACCGGGCATCCCGCGATTTCCGCGTGCAGTATCTACTATTTTAATTTTACGCATTCCGCGATTTCGACGTGCTCGCATTTTTTTATGTTTATTGGCATTGTTATACCGCGATTTTTGTTTTAATAGATTGATATTGTTTCTCAAAAACATACTAGATGGCTTAATATTCGTACTGCTATTTGTTACCAAAGCGATGTGCTAAAATGAAGCGAAAAAAAAAATACGCGGGCGGAGGGTTAAAGATGCATCTGAGATGATATCGACATAAGAATCGACACATTTTTAAATAAAGTAAAAACACTTTTTTATTTACTGTATATTTATTTTGGTCCCATTAATATATACTTATATGTATATACAATATTTAAACCTTACATAACATAGTCACCTATTTAAACTGTTATTTAATAAATTATCACATTTCTTACCAATATTAATTAATATTAAATATTACTAGGTAACTCACATTTTTACAACAGGCTTTTAATAGCTAACATTAGCTAATAATACCCAATTAGTGTGCATCAAATATGTTATCCTTTCTAATTTTTTTATAACATTATTATCATATTGAAAAATATAGGACAATAATTAAACATTTTTTCAAGTTACAGATAATTCTAAAAATAAAGACGACAAAAAATTATTTTTTGAATTTCCACTTTTGAATAATTAGAATTATTTAACAATGACTTGTTTTAACACAATATCAAATTACTTCTTAACACCTACATAATTATTGTTCAATACTGCTACTGAGATAGTTTTCTTTATAATGTAGGTCTTATCAATAAATCATTCATTCACTCAGTCTTATAAATATTTACGCTCGTCTTTTCTCATTCATCATTCAGTCACTTTAAGTCATTCATCTCGTTCATTACATCAGTCACTTTAATTCTGTCATTCGTCTCATTCATTATAATTGTCAGATAATATTTCATTCGCTCTTTAGCTCTCTTAACTTTCTATAGGTCCATACCGTTGTCTAAACCAAGTCATCGCACTATATTCTGGTTCGTAAACGTCGGGTATTTCTTTATCGATAGCTTCACAATACACCATCTTCACTGACGCCTCGCCAAATAGCCTTTCTTCATATTTAATCAATTGCTTGAAAAATCCCGTATTGGGTCGAATTTGTGGTCTGAAAAAATGATCAACGTTAACATCGTAATAATTATACTTGCGTACTTATATTAGGTTTAGTTTAATATGTTCAAATGTTCTTTTGTAGCTATTTTTTGTTTGGATATTTGCTTACTAACTGTTATAAATTAAAGTTCTTTTTAGTTAAATTTATAAATAAAGTTCATATTTTAATTTGTAAAATAACTAAATATGTATTAGCTGATCTTAGTTATCATCGCATCTAATTCGCTTAGTTATTCTTGCTAGTATTATAGAAAATATTGCTTTTAGAAAATACACAATCCTAAGTATTCGTAACATATATCTGGTTGTCTAAATAGTGCATGTTAATCTTATATCATCATATGATTTATAATATTTACCTTCTCTGCTTCATATGGTGATATGCGTCTCTAAGCGTCATTTTCTGCCATTTGATCAAATATGCCAAGCAGAGTGTCACGGATCTGGATACCCCTGCCACACAGTGAACCAACACTACTTCACCATTACGCACAACCTGTGACAAGAAATTTATGTCTTTATTGCCCACTATTTTTTATTATAAACATAAAAAACCGTGACATCTTGACGTATAGACATAGTTTACCATGGCCACATTTCGACTTTGAAAATAATTTGAGACTATGACAGTAATAGAATAAGTAAATAAATATCATATAATCACATTCATTGCCAGCTCTAAAAACTTTATCACATTTAAAAATAAATGGATAAACATTTATTTTTTTATTACATCATCCCTCCAAATTGAAACATTACAATAAAATAGTATTAACAAAAATTATAAAAAAAAGATTACAAAGAAAAAACAATGGAAGATCATTTTCAAGTAGCCTTACTCCTGTACTATAATGTGTATTCTATACAATAGTCTGATCAGAGTAAACCAAAACTAAAAGAAATTATGAAGTTATTTATGAAAAACCAGACACCAGAAATGTGAGTGCAATGCACGCGCTAAAATAATTTGAAAAATTTGTGCTTACCTCATTAATCAAATTCGCAACTCGTTCCATGTAAGGATGCATATCAGAGTTGGGAGTATCGAGAAGTGGAACAAAATGCCTTGGTACATCATCTTCGGGTGGAGGTGGTAATTCTGGGGCTGCGCTGACTATTAAACCAGGGTGGAGTGCTTTCACCGCTCCAGGCAAAGCATGTGCCCCGCATACGTATAGTGAATTTGTAACCCTTGAAACTCCAAGAGGACAACCTCTGAAAAGAAAGTTTACAGTCAATAATCTATAAGAACTTATTCCATCGAAAAAAATTAGTACGTTATATCAAAAAATTTTTTTCAGTGTTTAAATTTACTGTAATGTAACCACTGAAAGCTTTTATAACTATAATCCAATTAGCAACAAATATTTCCTTTAAAAAAATCATTAATATATTATATATGGTGAAACAAAGTTTTGACTTGTTGTTATACGTTTCATTAATGTTAACTGGAATTTCATTACCATCAATTTATTTACTATTTACATTACCCTCACTTAAATTAATAATAATTTTAAATGATGGTTACAATATTTGTCTGCTAGTTTAACTGATAAAACATTAATTAATTCATAAAATTTCGCAAAAAACTGTTTAAAGGAGATTATTAAAGGACAAAAATATAATAGGAAAAATGATAACACGGCATTCCTGAGTCAAAATACGACAACAAACCGAATCTTTGAGCACGTAAACATCACATACCACGCGGTTGTGTCATCTGGCATACTGCCAGCGCCGTCTGACCTAGCGAACTTGCTCGATTCTATGTGTACCTATATCTAATTCGAATTGTTTCCTAATCATGAACTGAATCATCCTATTGTTATTTTCAATTGTTATCGTTTGACGTCTATATTTTTTATTATCTATTGTTTAATTTATTTTGCAATATGATATATATGTAATTACAATTTAGTACTAAAATATATATTATTTTATTTTATAAATCGCCATCGAGTATTTCTGCACATCCTAAAGATTGAGAATGCCTTTAGCATTTCATCCGCCTTTTGTACCATATTTTATTGGTCAATAAAGTTTAAAAAAAATATTATAGTAATAGAAGTTTAATATCATAAACTCATTTTATTTACTATTGTATATTGATTTAAAAAAAATCTTTTTATTGTATTACCCATATTACCAATCACTAGATACCCTAAATCAAAACAGTCTTTACCATCAGTTTTAGATATAAATATGCTATTACACAAATTATAAATATAATTAAATATATATGCTGCACCAACCAATATTAGAATATAAAAAAATTACTAGTTTGTTTTTAAAATAATCAGCAGGGATGTAATTTAAAGTGGGGTCCCTAATGGGTCTGTTGCTAATTTAATTTCACTAATTCACCTGTTTAATTCCTCTTTGGTTAATTTCGGTGTCTCCACCACAACAGTCGGCTCATTGTCTTCTCCAACACTTGTCACTTTATCAACTGTTAAAACCTTCATATTTTCTATCACTTTAAAGTGTCCCCTTTTAAATTTATGCGTCAAAAAGTCAATTTCAATTATCTCACTTCTCACAGCTCATATATTAAAAACGAGAAAATATTTATTTCACTTTTTCTAAATCGTAACTATCGTGTTTAATATCGATAAAATTGTATTCGATGGAACTTCGATGGATGCGTATGCGCAGAGCGTGATCAGAGCACGCACTGGCACCTGCGAATGATCCCCATACCATGTGACGGAGCGGGATTGCAATATCCGGCATTCCAAAGTTATTTTCATCCGATGGTGACGATTATTTTGTTTACAGTGCGCCTGTTTCTGTTTTAGGTATGAATAAAATAAATAAAGGAGCTTTATTATCATCGTGACCGTCGTCTACGTCTATAAAAGTTATTGTAATGAAATTCTCTTTTTAACCTCTTTTTTACCAGAGAGAGACTTTGTATAAAAATCGATTGCTTGGGTACCTCTGTCCCATTCGTGTTTCAACCGTGAAGCAGTTGTGTTTGCATGGCTGTGTTTCGGTTTTAAGGGTGGGATATGGCGTGAATTTACTGGATACAGAGGAATAACATCTGAGCTCTTAGGAATGGCAACGCATGGGGGGTATCATGGGCGAAACAGTATACTCTGTTATGTCCATGGTGCGACGGTTATCACTTTCCATCAGGTGGGCAGTCAGCTTGTTTGCCATTCTAAGTTGTATAAAAAAAACCTACTTAAAAAAAGGAGGTTCTCTTTCTTTCTTTTATGTTTGTTACTCATAACTCATCAGTTATGAAACCGATTAAGAAAATTCTTTTTTTATTAGAAAAAATATATTTACAGATTAGTTCCAATCTAGTATATACTATAAAGTTTTTTTAATGAAAATAAGTAATTTGTCACAATTGAAGTCTATTTTTTTGCATAATACAATCTTATTTTGGTGTCAGTTCATAAAGCAAATTTAATTATTCATGTATTGATTTAATTTTAATAAGTATTTAGTATAATTTTTAATAGTAAAGTTTTTCAATATACCAGCTGTGACATAAAACAAAACTGTTATAATTATATAATACAAATATAGATAGATAAATACTCTTTATTATTTCCTCCAAAAGATTACAACAGTAAACTTATTATAAATATAAATAATTACAAGAAATAATCACAATGAGAAAACAATGGGCGACCTTATCGCTAAGAGCGATCTCTTCCAGGCAACCTTTGGATGGAGAGGAGTAATTATAAACAATTATAAATAAATATATTGTCCTTGGTTCTCTTAATATCTAAAGTACGGTTATTACTTACTTTTATTCAGGACGGCTGTCAGCTTTTTTACTTTATCATTTGCAGTAATATAACTACTGCATAATCTTTTAAAATTATAAGTCACTTAACGAGAGTACGTTTCAAAAAATCTTTAATATATTTTATGCAATATTGTTTTATGCTCTTTTCTATTTCAACAATGTTTACTAAAAATTTATTTCTCGTATTATTTATCGATCTAATATCGTTTCCACTATCAGCTTATTTGTACTAAGGAACTTCACTAAAAGGTAATTTTTAATAGTCTTTATAATTCTGTAGCCTTGTAAATCCCGGCATAGAGTAGACCACCCCTTCCTTTCCAGAATGTGCAGCAGCGTCTCTCTTAAAACATTACAAGAAGTCAAACTGCGGTTATTAACTTGCCTGCCAAGCGTGGCAACTACTGGCAACACCCTCCTTATGGACGGGAAAGGGATTGTTAGCATTGGAGTTTGACAGCCCCCTTGCTAGCGATATACCCTATTAGGTTCACCTCCACGTGGATCCTCCTGGAAACCATCGTGAACGATTCCTGCTGAACTAAATTTATCTCTAAAATTGAAATTTTAAATTAATATCATAGCGAAGTCTTAATTGTAAGGAAAATTTATATTTTATATTACTTCGTTACAAAAAGTAAGTAAATGTTTAAATATAAAGATTATTTCAGAGGCAATTTCAAATAGACGACTTATTTGAAGTTTCCTATAAAGCAAGCTGTGTTCCTCTTCATTTAACTATGTGTACAGTAATCAAACATAGAACGAAAAATTTTCAACAATAAGTATTATTTATTTAAACTGCCATAAAATATGATACATAACTAAATGTGTAAAATAATCTTAGATGTTTCACACACGGCGAGAGCTGGTAGGCCGCCTCGGAGAGAGGCAGAGGCAGTAAACGTGAGGATGTGTAATTAGTTTGTGAAGCGCCTAAGAAATACGTCTAAATATTGCATTAATCTTTTTTTCGGCTCGTCAAAATACCACAGCAGTTAACACAATCCAGACAATTGGTAAACTGTTTCGACTCTGTCTCATTATGCCAGTAGTCTTTGGGCAAATATTCACTTCTCTTAAATATCTGGTCTTCGATTAGTTTACAGAACCAGAGGTAGCGACGTGCTCTCCAGAACTTCGCTGTGGAATCGACCACGGCTTGGACGGCGCGCTGACAAACTGGGTCCAAATAGTAAGGTGTATTGAAGGATAGATTTTGGATATTGCAGCGAAAAATCTACAACAAATATACAGTTATATACCTATTTTTAATAATATAATAGATATAGGTCGAGGGATAGGCAGCAGCGTCCCTCTTAAAACATCACTAACGGCCTAGCTACGGTTACCAACTCGCCTGCCAAGCATAGCAACTACTGGTAAAACCCTATTTATGCGGGAGACCTATGTTTAACAGGCAATTAATGGCTGATATGAATGAATGAAAACATAGTTAAGTAACTAATAACATAAGTACAATCTACTAGGTAACATGATACCTCATAGCCACACATTTCCAACACGCAATAGTTGACAAATTGTACAGGAACAAAGTCCACGCGGTATCCAAGTTTTTGCAAACGATCTGCGATAAAACATATAATGATTATCCCATGTATCAGTGTAATTAATATATTTTACATACATAACTAAACTCGCAACTTTATCTGCGTGGTAATCAAAGTTTAAATTTGTAAAAACATTCTCGCTTCCTGTGAAGCGGTAAAAACAAAATGGCAGTCGGAGATTGATGGCTAATATGAAAGGTTGCGGAAATTCTGCTAATAACAGTGGTGGTCAATCTTCAAGTGTTGGCAGTCACAAACATACTAATGGTAGCGGAATTGAACAAAATAATTCAATTCAAATAATCAATAATATTTACCTCTTAGACCTTTTAATTTCTGTGGTTTATGTGCAAGAGTATTGAACGAATCGCATGGTCCATAATATATACTCACATACTGAAAGGACATTTCTATGAAAAATTGTGAATTAGAAAAATTGGAACAAGTTCACTAGGATTTAATGTAATGTCTTCATGATGTTATTTTACCAATAAAAATAAATATTTGTGGTTAAATATTTCTTTATAATAACGTGAATGACACGATAAAGTCATGTCCTTAAGATAATAAAATAAGGTCATAGATAATAATTTACTTATTTTTAAGGGTTTATGATAAAGTACTATACAAGCTTTGGCCACAACTAGGCATTAATGGACTCACATATGTGGGCCGAGGCGTAGCCGAGGCACACATATTTGTACGTTCGTCTGTCAATGCCTCAGTTGCTGACCGCTACACTAATGTACTATAAGTTTAGTACACAGTTACCTTTCTATGGTGATAAACTATCGAAGGTAAACAAACTTGGAGAGGAAGGGAGGACTGCACAAAATAAAAAATAATTGGGTACTTCAATTATCCTGCTTTTTTCACTAAGCAACTGTTACTTTTCCAGTTTAAACTGAAAAGGTAACAGTAATTTTAACCTATTATCTATATTATATAGGAACAAATTATAACTTTTTAAAACTATTAGTAAAGGAAATGTGTCATTTATCAATTTCAGAATATCAGTCCACTGGGGAGAAAGGGATTGTTAGTAATAGAGACTGAGAATCCTATTGCTAGCAATATACCCAACCAGGTCGACCTCCTTGCGGTTCTCCCTGGAAACTATCATGGTTAATTCGTGATGAATTCATCATGATGGGTTAACTGACCTGTTTTCATTCTCATCTATCACCCTTCACTGGTGCTCCGCCAGCGTATCCCGTTAGCACAGGCGTGGTTACCATACCATTTTCACCCATCAAAAAAAAAAATATCGGTCCACTCATTTAATGTGTAATATTTAAGTAATAATCAATACATATAATGAAATCGTAACTAGTCTCTGTCTGTACATGGAAGATATATAAGAAAAACTATTATTTGCTATATGAATGCAATAGAACCCAAAACAATGTTTTTCTTTTATTTTTATCTGTTCGTCTGTAAGTTTATGCGTACTAAGCTCAAAAACGGTTTAACCGATTTAAATGCGGTTTTTATTAATGCATTGCGGTTTGCTCCACTTAACATTTTGTGTTCTTTTCAATCTGTTTATAAATAAAAAAGTTATATATCACATATAAAATGGTATAAAATAACCAATCGATTGAATTGGCTGAAACTTTTTTTGTGTATTGATTTTTGAAAATTCTGGTACTATTAATGTCTATAGGTGACAGTTACCACTTACCATCAGTTGGGCCGTCAGCTTATTTGCCATTCTAAGTTGCATAAAAAAAAATATAACCTTCAAATTTATTCATAGGATTTATGAAAAGTTTACGCTTTTTTATATTAGCACAACATGTGACGAGCTCATCTTGAGCAAACATAGGGGCACACATACATTGCTTTATAAAAAAAAAAAAAACAAGCTTTGTATCAAAATTACTGACATATGTATTTGTATAGGATGCAAATAAAACAAGTATGATTTTAGATTCGTTATATTGAAACAAGTTACAAGGCTCTCAAGTTCAGTCCGCTAACAGATGCTATTTATTCATTAATACAATTTCATTATATTAACATGTTCTATCAGTCGTATATTTTGTCAGTTTGTGAAACAACAGCCGACGATGCACTTCGACTGTTCCCACTAATCGGAATAATGGACTAAATTATTAACAGGTTGAATAACTTCCGACGACTCAATCTAAAGAAAATCGAAACCACGTCTAGAGATGTGGTTTGAAATTTGATTAAAGATGAATTTGGACACAATCAGCCCTGACAGCTCTGATATCTTTCAATTAAACATGTCTACCTCTTTTAAATCTTTCAGGATTTTACTGCCGGGGGAGAGATTATTAGCAATGGGGTATAACGTCCCTATTGCTAGCAGCATTCCCTGTCAGGTCGACCTGCACGCGTTTTCCCCTAGAAACCATCGTCTTTAAGTATTGTTGCATTCATCACCTGATCTACTTCATCTTCACATAAGTGTATACCGATGTCTTTACGTAAAAATGAAAGGGTTATTTGTTTTTTTATGAATAAAGGGTTTCTACGTCGTCACTAGATCCGCGTGTGATGACCCTTAATGTTTCTTGTTTCGATATTATTCTATACCCGCCAATATTGCATCCCACAATTGAAGTATGTTATTATATTGTTTTGGAATGATAAAATCCTTATTCAGAATTTCTTTATAGTTTTATGATCCGAGTGAGCAGGCGTCACTTTTAATCATTTGATTTCATTTACGTTGATTAGATTAATACATAAAAAGCCTTGTATCTGCGATCACCGCATACATATTACACGTTCCTTTGTAAATATGTCAACCATGAAATTTGGATTTCTTCCATGGATTTCTCCCAACCAAATCACCTACAGATGACTCATTTCATTATAAACCCTACCATACAATCTCTGAACAATCAAAAATGTATCTTTTTGACATAATTTCTTTGCCGAAGATCTGAATTCGTTTGGGTGCGAAATTTCGAAAAAAGTAACATTATACTCGTAAATGCGGTCGCCGGTACCTACCATAAAACGCCACCTTTCCGTAAAAACACGAACCAATTGTCAAGAGGATGGCACCTCCCAACGCGATACTTACCCTTAATGTATCAATTATGTGCGTGGTTATTAATAATAATCATTTTATTTCTTAATATATAATAAAATAACCATGTTCTTTCAGTCTACAGGGTAAGAATTTCAGATGATACAAGAGGCACACAATACCTTATTCTTCAGTAGTGCCAACGAAATAGTTTTTCTTTTTAAACTTTTTTTAGGTGCCATTACATGATGCCAATGGCTGATAATCATTCTTCTTAAAACATACCAACCTCCTTATTCATAAAAACGTCAATCTCTCATAAATCTATTTTAGCTATGGAATTGTATTTTTTTTTTCGTTTTTTTACACTAAATTCTCAATTGGAAAGTGTAACAGTTCAAATAGGTTTGCAGGTTTTAGTTTTTATGAACAAGGGGGACTAGTGTTTGCAGATGACCAGGTGAGGTGATGGTAATCATTATTTCGAAATTTGAAAATTTCTAACAGTTCACTGTCAGATCAATTTTCAAATTTTGATTTTATAAAAAAATCTGCACAATGTTGGTAGTATTATAATTTAATTTCAATAACATATTTTACTAAGTGAATATATTTTTCATTTTTATATGTCTAAATTAAAGCAAAAAATACCTATATAAATTATAAACACTTATTCGTTTTCCACCAAATAAAAACACATGAAAAAGTTGGACAAAGTTCGAACACACTGTCGATAGTCCAAGCTTAACAAAACAGTTTCAAATTTGGCCTTACCTCACCTGATCATTGCCACGTATTGTCATCTCAACCAAGTATACAAATACATTGGACAGCTTCTATTTATTGCTTCATCATATTGCATCACACTTGCAAATGTATATATACTGTAATATGGGTTTGGTGGCCCCAATTTGCATAAAAAAAAAAATAACGGGCAAATGAACCTAAGGGTTCTTTCATATTACGCGATAAAGGCGGCAAAAGCATAGCGTAAACCACCACGTCTTGCTAGAATCCTCGACACATACAGCGCCGCCGCTGTAAAAGAGGCCTCACTTTCATGTACAGGTTTCATATAACAATTGACAAAATCAATTTAAAAACAACAGCGATTACACAAAATGTATCAACTTATTTGAAAAAAATAAAACAGATTTGTTTTGTCATATACACGAACAATGAAAGTTAAACCGAGCTCATTTCAGTACAAAACATTCTAACTATAATTTGATAAATAATTCTAATTTAATTTACATTGGAATATCAAGTAAAGGACAATATAAGTTTTAGGATTAGAGTTAGCATCCACTGGCTTAACGGCATGGCATGGCACGGCAAAAATTTTTCATCAGTTGAATTCATTTTAAACCTTATTACAAAACCCTTAACGCTCATATTTGAAACCGTTATAAACCGAGCCGTGGCACTTTAGAACGTCATTGTATAACATCTCACGCATTCTCCGAAATACAGATATTTCGAATACTTTAGCATGCCGTATCATCAGTGAATGCCAGCTCTTAATACACATACATCTAATAAATTACAATAAAAATACAAAAAACTTTTATTGCGTCGATTTAAAATAAATCGAGATATTCTCTATGGCCGGCGTGTCGACGTGCCCTAGATTTGAAATTTAAAAATAAATACAAAAACACTTATTAATACAAGATAATATAACAATATACCTAATGTAGGCGACCCCTGAGATAAACGGCCAGAAGAATGCTGAATAAATTGTTTTTTTTTTTACATTCTAACTAAAATCACAATATTGTTTTTATTACATATAAAAGCAAAAGTTATTTTTATTCAGCATTCTTAGTCCTACCTCTGCGTAGTAACGCTGTACTAAACTATTATCCCCATATTCATAAAAATGTCAAACATAATTTATGAAGGTGATGTCATATTTTCGGATTTCCTCTATTATACGCATAGATGAAGGTGTTACGTGAAAATAACTAGGTACGGGTAATATCGATACAGTTCCAATATCTATATATCGACGTCCTTCGGAGATTAATGATGGAAAAATAGGTCATTACCCATTTCGGTATAGCCCATACTGGTCGGATATTAATATTCATTTCGATTGCGTTCTTCATTTAGATGTTATACATTGGACATATATACATATATATCCATTATTGGGTTATAGATAATAGAACTAGAATATATAGATATTTCTATAGCACCTCCCATTCATGCATAGAATAGCGAAAATTTGAAAATGTAACATATCACATTTATCCATTCATATCTTCAGTTATTAGGTATGTTTCTCTTTCTTTCGAGCCAAATTATCAATATGAAAGAAAGTGAGAAAAAACAATAACAGTTAAAATAATTATAGATTTCACATTTTTATGATTAGGACAATATTATTAATAAACATAATTATAAAACTCACTCAGTTTTTCAATTCCAACATTCCATTATGATCATGAGGGTACACAAGAAATAAATATGTATATGGAATTATGTGATGTGTGATTACGTAATGCTATTCATGCGTATAGGCGGCGGTTACTTTCCATCAGGTGGGCCGTGTGCTTGCTTTACATGTCGCTCTACGTAAGCAATACATGAAAAAACACCGCACAAGTGATCAAAGTAATATTTTGTGCTTGTAATAAAAAGCTAAACACCTATTTGTTTAATGCATATTTTTAAGTGTTTTAGTTTATGACCTTACAAATAAAAAAAAAAATAGCGATCAACACTTGGCTGCGAACTGGGAATAGTAAGATCTAATCTCAGTCCAAAGAGTTGAATTTTTAAAATTCATTCTATAAAACATATTATTGTCACGTTTCGTTCTTTGGAGGGCATGAGGATCCGTCGCCTATAAAGTTACAACTAAAAGTAACAACACATAACGAATACGACCAAAAATGTGTTACAACCCTCACCACTACCACACGACTACTATTATGTATTAACATTTTTTTTATACCACTTAGAATGGCAAACAAGCTGACGGCCCACCTGATGGAAAGTGGTAACCGTCACCTATAGATATTATTTTGTTATCACATTATATAGTAGAAACATACTCCTTTTTTATACACACATACTCTCTTTCTCACTCGACAAAATCAGTATGAGGCCAACATAGGAATAAACTCGAATAAAAGAAGTTATCGAATATTACTCACTGTCTGCGAAGATATAGAAAAAAAAAGGCAAAGAAAAAAGTAAACTGTTAAATGTAGATATCTTAATTTCCTCAAAAATCTGCTAAGTGAAAAAAGCCTCCAAAATACCTAGATAATATTTAAATAAATGCTTACCCTGCCATTATTATTTATTTAATCTCAATTTATGTCTTACAGTTGTTTTACTATACTGGTATATTTCAAAATTATAAAATATTATTCTAATCTTTTGACATAATAATTTAATCATTTAATATAGTGTTGCCAACAATGTAAAAATACAGATAATTAAATTAAACAAAATATTACTTAAATCACTTGTACGCTAAATTGACGATTTATAGGAACATAGATATTTTCAGATGCAAACTAATCATTTCTAACAGAACGATTTTGTATTTTCATTAAATATATAATGTATACAGGTTTTATTAACACATAAGTAAATAAAACATATGATCTGATGCCAAAATGAGATGCAATATATTACCCTAATAAGTAATGTAATATGCTCTTTCAGATTGTGCAGTACTTTTAACAATTTTAGTATGTTGGCACAAAATAATATGGCAACACATAGCGACATCTATCAGATAACCCTTACAGGGTTTCCAATTCAAAGCTGTAACATTTTCATCTTCAAGCAAATCTGTAAACATATTAATGGACATAGCAACCATTTAGTAACATGAATATGTATAATTATTATATATTCCGAATCTTTGGACTTCATACATTACATTTTCAACAGCCTAATCATCCTACTCATAAAACGTCAAACATCTGATAAACCTATTCCAGCTATTAATGTGTTTCCATCTCTTTCCTTCTAGCTAAATTCTTATCTGAATGAAAGAGACAGAAAACAGTAGTAAAAATTGGCTTAGACGTTTCACATTTCTATGAACAAGACAGTCAGTTTAAAATTTTTATCAATCTATACAATCCGCACACTGAGTGTCAGATCCCCTACCATTTACCTAATACCGTAACAACATATTTACAGTGAAAAATCAATATTGGCTTTCCCTAACCAGTCAATGACTTTTACAATCACTAAATAATATTTTAGAATGGTATTGCCGAGTGAAACTCGTAGTATACTTATCAAATCTAGGGCAGTGTGACACTGGTGCGTAGCGGCATTCGCTGGACTTTCACTACCTACAGCGTGTTGGCTTGAGCCGCGCAATCGGCGAGTCCTTTACAATAGTCACTAACTTATCACCCGTCACTCATTTCACTTGGTTTTTCACGTGCTGTAAGAACTCGTAGTAGGAGAATGCGGACTCTACTCGATCGTCGACCAACCGTTCCGTGAATAACGTGCGGGATGGAGAATTGTCCCTGTAACAATATTATGAGTTATGTATACTAATTAAATTAGAATAAAATTAATAAAAAAAAATAGAGTGATGTTAATAGAATGGTAACCTATTTGCACTGTCGGTATACATTGGAATATCAATTGGTTGATACAGCAATGAGTGATGACAGATAAGGATAAAGTAAGATCAGTTTATTATATTAACAGTGGACACTTAAAGGCTGATATGATAATATGATGACGACAGCTCACAATACGCTAGCCGACAGTCTAGCGTATTATATCTAGGGGGGAAAGGGATTGTTAGCAATGGAGTTTGACAGTCCCATTGCTAGCAATATGCCCTATTAGGTCGACCTCCTCGTGATTCCCCCTGGAATTTCATCTTGTTGAATTCGTCACGATGATCTAGCTGACCTGCTTCATCCTCACCTATCATCCTTTACTGGAGCCCCGCCGGTGTATACCGATAGCGCGAATGAGGTTGCCATTCCATTGTCATCCAATAAAAAAAAAAGCCCACAGTATCTAAGAACATATAGCCTTAAGCTTGGTAGTGAAATTTTTCCTGTTCAAACTTAGATTTAAGCATTTTTGAATAATAGTTTTTCTCTTTTACTAACTAATAACATTGCATATTGTCTACTTAATTATTGTGAGTATATTGTTGGTGTGTCTTTTATAAATAATGAATGAATGAGTATACTTTATTTGCATTATACAATGTAGGAAATAAACAAGACAATTTCCAAACATAATGATACAATTGTATAAGTACAGTGAGGCTAATAAATAAACAAACAAACACAATGTAATACTGACTTGAGTAGCAGCACGGGCGAGGCGTAGGGCCGCTCGTCGTTGAGGCGGTCGAGCAGCGCGTGCAGCAGCGCGCTGGCGCGCGTGCGCAGGCGCGGCAGCGCGCGCGCCTCGTCGTGCAGCTGGCTGTGCGCCGCCACGCCCAGCGCGCCCGACAGGAACGCGGGGCTCACCGCGTGGCACACGTACACGATCATCGTCTCGCCGTCGTCCAGCAGGTACGCGCCGTTCGAGTTTATTCTGGAAAATTATTTACATACTTTCATTTAATTTGCTTTAACCCTTAAATGCCTGAAGTTTCAAATTTGATACCGGGGTTTTCATTGTTTCATTGTTAAGTAAATTTAATTATTTTGATTACTGTAATGCCTAAAGTATCAAAAATAATACCAATTTCTTTTTTTCAAAATAAATATATAAAAATATCGTTTTGATTTTTTTTTACTATTTTTCCCCGTTAGTACAGTAAAGGGTACACTTATATATTTTTTAATAAGGGTTATAAAGACTCAGTTGTATGGTTTCCGATTGTGTTAAAATTTCACATACTAATACCATCGCGCTGGTATGGTGTTGAAGGTGACAAGGTGACCATAAATATAAAAATAATATAAATATAAAATAAACATAGAAATAATATAAATATAGAAATTCGTATAGTACTCATGATAAATCCATCGTATTGATTGTTAATCATACAATTGAATATACAAGATATTAATCTTATTCCTATTTCAACCTTCTACCAAAAACTTCTATATTCCTCAGATACAAGAAGTTTTTGGTAGAAGGTTGATGACATTTTGCGCATCTATGGTCATTGAAAAGTTTTTTTTTAATTATTTGTTTCAATTTATATAATAACTTTATATATAATTATTATTTCTGCATATGTAATGGCTCGTTGCCTTTGTTATTCAAGATCCCAGGATTGTATTCTCTACATACAGCTTGTCTAATGGTCAACACTGTAGCCTATAGATGCCTGGAACACTAAGTTTGTCACGTGCACGTTGCTGACCCTGAAGAAACCTTAATACACCCTTTTTAAACAACTATAGTCTCTAGGGAATACCTCGGCAGGGAGCTCATTTCACAGCCTGAGCGTTCGAAACTCATTATTTAAGAATAACGAGCTTTTCAATGCTACTAAAATTTTGAAATTAAATTATTGTATCTTTTGTTTTCAATATTAAAATGATGTTAGTAGATTTTGTAAGGTATTTTTAATTTATAAGATCTTATGTTTTATATCCAAAATCAAAACAAATATATTATTAACAAGCTATAAAGATATTTTAAATACACAATCAGCGGGTCTACCATGAAATGAAATTCCGAAATTTCGGACTCAATTTCGTGTTTTTGTTTATACCAAAATCGGATCAATAAATGGAGTTTAACATTTCGTTCGTCATACATCCTATCATAAAAGTCCAAAAGAACAATATTTTAACATTTTTAATATTTCCAAACGGCATGTATTATGTAATTTTAACATCCAATTTGTGTTTCGTTTGGCTCCGAAATTTCGGAAAACATTTCATGGTAGGCCCTCTGGTCTTAACACGATATAAAAGCATTTACAAGTAAATAATACCTACATACAAACAACGCGAAAGTTAAAAATACAACTATAAAGATACAATTTCTTCAGCATAAGCTACAAACCTCTCTGCAGTGAGATGCAGCCGCGGCGGGTCGGGCACTCCATCGTCATCCTCCGCGTTAGGATCTGCGTTAGGGTCCGCGGGGTCCGTATGTTCCAGCGGTGCTGATGTGTACTGTTCAAGCTCGTGTATGGGGTACAGGTCAGGGTACACGGCGCGCAGTAACTGTGCCAGCGGCAACGTTTTCATATTACACATATCCGCGACTCGCTCGTCCAGCCGGGTCGACACACCTGTCCGGAATGCTTTCTGCAAAACCATAATAAGCGCGCGTTAATACAAAAGACATTTAGTACAAATTTTTGGCATTAATAATTAACATTTTTTTAAAAGTGTTTTACGAGGCAATTTACTCAATATATTTTGGAAAATGAAAATGGTTATAAAACGAATAAAAAATTCGACCACCCCCTATACTAATATGTCAATTACAGACGTTATAATGAGTAGATTTTTGTCATCTTTTAGTCAATTTCATGGCGTAAAAGTGTTTAGTTTGATTGATAAAAAGATGCCAATAAGTTTTATCATCCAGTATTAGTACATTACTGTAGCGGCCAGCAACTAAGGCATTGATGGACGCACGCGCAAATGTGGGCCGAGGCGTAGCCAAGGCACACATACATGAGTCCATCAATGCCTAGTTGCGGCCAAGGCTTGTATAGTACTTTACCTTCACATCAAGTCTCTTAAAGGGATGAAGGAAATGTAGGGATATCGATAACACATGAGCAATGCGAGTAGTGTTACCATATAGTTCCGGTTTGGAATGGGCCACTTCTTTCTTCCCATGGATTTTGTAAGAGGCGTCTGAGAGGACTTAATGGTCGAAGGATGGGCAGCAGCGCCCTTTTAAAACACCATCAAATGCCTAACTGCAGTTGTTACTGCAGTTAGGCATTTGATGCCTGCCTGTCAAGCATGGCAACTACTGGCAAAACTTCTCCTTATGACTGTTCAACAGTTGAAAGTTTATGGCTGATATGATGATGATGTTGGTCATAGTGATGATGGTGGTGGTGATGGTAGTGGTGGTAGTGGTAAGGGTGGTAATGGTGGTGGTGGTAAGGGTGGTAATGGTGGTGGTGGTAAAGGTTGGGATGGTGGTGGTCGTAAGGGTGGTGCTGGTGGTAGTGGTGGTAATGGTGGTAGTAGTGGTGGTGGTGGTAGTGGTAAGGGTGGTGATGGTGGTGAAGGTGGTGATGGTAATGGTGAATGGTGAGCAGGCAGTACCCGCTTGAGCAGCGCGAGCAGGAAGAGCGGCAGCAGGCGCAGCGCGGCGGGCGCGTGCAGCGCGTGCGAGGCGGCGCCGGCGGGCAGGTTCTGCGCCAGGCGGTGCGCCGACAGCGCGTCCACCGCCACGTTGATCAGCGCCTCCTTCGCCTCCGACATCGACGCGCTCGCGCACCGGTCCACGGCTGCAACACACGCACAATATATTACAATATTAGAATGGCAAACAACCTGACGACCCACCTGATGGAAAGTGGTAACCGTCGCCTATAGACGTGAGCAGTACCATGGACATAACAGAGTATACTATTTAGCCCATGTTACCCCCCATGCGTTGCCATTCCTGAGGACTCAGGTGTTATTCCTCCGTACCCAGTAAATTCAAGCCATATTCCACCCTTCAAACCGAAACACAGCCATGTAAACACAACTGTTTCACGGTAGAAACACGAATGGGACAGAGGTATCCAAGCAATCAACTTTTGTACAAAGTCTCCCCTGTGTTATCGTCACCTCCTGGAGATAAGACAACGACATCTTCCTCTTTCTTTGTGCGTATGTTAACTTGAGCTAATTTCATTTCGACAATGTATAACAATCTCCAATGTGTATTATGGCAGCAATAGACAGAAGTTACTCGTCTGGCCCTAATTTATGGGGAAAATTTATGTTTAACAATGGACAAACAATGGTAAATATGATTGTGACTGTTGCGACTCCGTTTCTATGCCAAACAGATCAGCCAATTGTGGCCCCTGCATATCACGTGTTACTATTTTTGGTGCTAGCCATTGGCCCTTATTGGCCCATTTACACCATCAAATTTTGTAACGCATTATCATTCAAATAAACTCTAATAAAATAACTTTAACTAAAATACCCCAAAAACCAGTAAAAACGCGCATAAACTAGTACATACATACATACATACATACATATCTGTCACGCCTGTCTCCCATTAGGGTAGGCAGAAACAATGGAACGCCAAATGCTTCGATTCAAACAAACCTCTTTCGCTTCTTCCACATTCATCAATCTTGTCATACACGCTCGTCGGTTACGGGTACTTTTAATTTGGCCCTTCTTCAGCACGTCGCCTATTTGGTCGACATACGTCCGTCTAGGGCGGCCCCTACCGACATCTCCATTCATTCTTGCTCGATAAATCTCTTTCGTAATTCTTCTTTCATCCATCCTCTCCAAATGACCAAACCAACGCAACTAGTACAATGACTAACAAAGACGAGTTTTTTTTTAATAAGTCAGCATGGAATGGTGATCCCGCCTGCGCTATTGGTATACGCTGACGAGGCCAAGATATTAGCTAAAAACAGGTCACCTGATAGGATATATTGCTAATAATGAGACTGTTAGATCCAATTACTAACAATCCCTTTCCCCCCAAACAAGGACAAGTTAATAAATTTGAAATAGATACACACCCATCTTAGCGAGTAAACCGATGATGCAAGCCTGATCAGCGGCGTGTAGCACGTCGGGTAGGTTGCTAGCTAGTGGCAAAGCCAGTGTATGGACTCGAATGCGACGTTCACCTGTATCAAAAATACATAAAAATGTATGGGAATCTTCACAAACTTCTTGGTAAAAGAACTTTATTTTTCTGATTTACATTTTTTTGTAATACTCTACAACTGAGCTTATTAAGAAATATCTTTACACATTTTTATGGTCCTTCGACGAGGAAATTACTTACCTTTACTACTGGTATAGAGCAATGCGGCCTGGAAGCAGACTTGTTGCAAATCAGCAAGCGACTCCTCGATGCTGAGCTGCATTCCGAAGCCGGCGTCAGGAGACACGTTTGGTAAAGATAAAAGGTCCGTCGAGCGCACGAAGAAGTTGCCGTGGAACGTGTGGATTGATATTCCCCTGTTGTAAAAGTAGATATATAAGAATATATCTTTTATTTAAAATATTAATATATTGGCCCAATAATGGATAAATATTGGTAATCCAATACACAATAACGGAAGGAACACCCGATTGGAATTAATATAGATATCCGACTGGTATGAGCGATAGTAAAATTAATGATATCATTTTTGACGCCATCAGTGTCCAAAGAAACTTAGGAATGATGATGGTGGTGATGGTGGTGGTGGTGTCGATGTTGGTGTTGGTGGTGGTGATGATGATGATGGTGGTGGTGGTGGTGATGGTGATAGTGTAATGGTGATGGTCGAGGTGATGGTTGAGGTGGTGGTGGTGTGATGGTGGTGTGTCGGTAGTGATGCGGTAATGAGTGACGATAATGATAATGGTGGTGGTATGGATGTGATGGTGGTGCTGGTAGTATGGATGATGATGGCGGTGGTGCGATAATGGTGGTAGCGGTGGTCACCTGGTACAGCGGACGCGCATAACCGCCTCAAAGCCGATTTTCCTGGTTAAGTAGCGCGTGAAGAGACGGACCAGCGCGGCCGCCTGCCAGCTGCGGTTCGCGCGGAACATCGGGATCTGGTACACCGAGCCCGCGCTGAACTTGCTCATACCGCCTGCACCGGACACATTTACACTTCCATAAAGATTGTACTTTGATTAATAGGAAAATACATTTAAACAAAATACACAGTTTCGATAATACAAGTGGCTACGAGTAGATCCGTATGCTACAAGTTAGTCAGGAAGTGTTCAAATGCTGACAGAGTCACAAGAATAGAATAGTAGTAATGGTTATTCAAGTAGACTTGTTTACGAACTCTTCTAAGAGCGTTCATAACTAGTTTACCGAAGTATAACAACATCGCAACTATGCGTCAATTTTCAAAAACAATTTAACATTTCTGAATGTTTAACTGTTCTGTTAAACTGATTATTTAAACAGTTCTTTTGTTAATTTTGTTAAATTGTTAATTTTATTTGACTAGCAAAAAAAAATTGGTTAAAAGATAATTTTAGAGAATGATGCCTGCTTCAGAATCGATTGCATTGACTCTGTTTGAGTTATAGATTGCTATTTGCTCTTCTATTACAGTTTATTGTTTTATATAGTAATATTTTATGTATTTATTATATGTATGTTTATATTAGTCTAATTATATGTTTATATTATATGAATATATCAAGTATTGCTTTATTTTTCGTCTATTTAATAATGCACCGCCTACGTATTTCTCGGTTGGCCCAATGGTTGACTGGTAGAGAACACCATCCGGTGTTAAGTCCGCCAAATGTACATAGAATTTTACTGTGCATTAAAGTTTTAATAAATAAATGTCAAAACAGTAAAGGTCGGATACGAACTGAGCGTGGCGAGGTCCGAGTACTGCGAGTTGAGGAGGAACAAGTCGACGGCGACCTGTGCGCCGCTGCAATCAAGCGCCAGCCGCTTGTAGAAATCCGTCGCCGGATTCAGATGCGCTACCTCTTTCGCTGACCGCGCATTTGGGTCCTCGCTATAACAGTTTATTTACCAGCAAATTAAAATAATAATAAATTAAAAGAGGGGGGGGGGGCGGAAGTTCTAGGTATTGTTAGTAATGCGGATTACCAGTCCCATTGCTAGCAATATATCCTGGCACGTCGACCTCCATGTGGTTCCCCTGGAAACTATCGTGCTGAATACCATGATGATGAATACACCCATCAGGGGGGAAAGGGATTGTTAGTAATGGAGACTGAGAATCCCATTGCTAGCAATATACCCAACCAGGTCGACCTCCTCGCGGTTTCCCCTGGAAACTATCATGGTTAATTCCTGATGAATTCATCATGATGGGCTAACTGGCCTGTTTTCATTCTCATCTATCATCCTTCACTGGTGCTCCGCAAGCGTATACCGTTAGCGCAGGCGGGGTTACCATACCATTTTCATCCATTGGAAAAAAAAAACAAATAATACACCCATCATAGGGGGGAAAGGGATTGTTAGTAATGGAGACTGAGAATCCCATTGCTAGCATTATACCCAACCAAGTCGACCTCCTCGCGGTTCTCCCTGGAAACTATCATGGTCAATTTCTGATGAATTCATCATGATGGGCTAACTGGCCTGTTTTCATTCTCATCTATCATCCTTCACTGGTGCTCCGCCAGCGTATCCCCTTAGCGCAGGCGGGGTTACCATACCATTTCCACCCATCAAAAAAAAATACACCCATCACAATGGGCTAACTGACCTGTCTTTTCATTCTCACCTATCATCTCTCACTGGTGCCCCGCCAGTGTACACCTTTAGCAGACGGAGTTGCCCCCAAGAGGAAGACTTATGTCCAGTAGTGAATAGTTAAAGGTTGATATGATGATAATGAAGCCACTTTGACATCTTGTGATAATATTAAACTAACACTTTTTTAATAGGCGATAAATATAACTCGCCTATAATTGGGCATTTCCTTCAGATGCTGATCTAGTCGGCTGGGTCACATCTGAGTGAACTGCTTTAATTAATATGCTTTTCTTTTTTACTAACATAGTTTGTAAGAAGACTGTTACTAACAAAATGGACCAAATTGTAGTCTGAGTAATAAAGTATATTATTATTATATTGTTTAAGCACAATAACAACTACAACCAATTAAGGCGAAGTCATTAACACCAATTGTAGTTTTATCACCAACATATACCATCCAGGCAACCACTTATGTATGGAGGACATTGAAATAGAAGTTAATTTGTATTATTATCATACATGCATAATGTAATTCAAAAACAACGTAACTCACCGTGACTGTAACGCTCCAGGTCCAATATTGGGAAGACACGTTTGGAATACGGTGATGCGGCCACCAGTGGGAGCCTTAAATAAAATAATTCATATTAACTTTTAATTAATTACATATAAATTTATTTATTTATTTATTTATAGGATTACCAACATAAGATACAGCTAAACATTTCAGTACAATACACTGGTAAATAAAATCTAACTGTTCTTACATTTATAGGCAACGGCAGCATGCCTTGTGTTTGATAAAGATTAAAATAGAATTAAATTATTAAATTAAATTTTATCTAGTTCCTTTGTTTGAAAATTTTCACAATATTGTACATCGTTCTACCCGCTTACATTGATGCTCCTTTCCACTTTGGGTTTACTGGAAGAGAACTCTTTTAGAGTTAACCTCGCCTTTTAAACATTTGATTTTTTACAATAAAGTATTAAATAAAATAAACAAATAATCTTGCTTATATAACCATAGATAAATAAATAATAATATTAGTTTAGTAGTATCACCTTCAACATATCTTCGGTCGTATATCTTCGACGACGGAACGGCGATATATCAAATCGCATACAATTTACTACTCTTAATCGCAATGTATAAAATATTGGTTAATTTTATTTTATTTATTTAAATATTAACCGAAATAAAATAAGGTATAAAAGGCGAACTTAATGCTAGTAGCATTCCCTACCAGTCTACTTTTGGGAATGAACAATGAACCACGGTACTTCATGATTGATATATGATGATACGCTAACTCCCAATCGTAATCGCCGATCCTTAATCGTCGAATATACTGAACCGAAGATACCCTTAATGTAACATTAGCCGATATGTTCGGATGCCGACCCTTAATCGCTGAAGATAATAAAAATATACTGGATGTGCCTCTAGCCTATATGTTTTAGCGTCGATCCTTGATTGCAAAAGACAATGAACCGAAGACACACTATATATAGCATAGTCTATGCTAATGCTACATCCAGCCTATTTTTGATCTATATTTTTTTCTTATGCAACTTACAATGGCAAACAAGCTGATGGCCCAAGCTAATGGAAAGTGGTAACCGTCGCCTATAGACATGAGCAGTACCATGGACATAACAGAGTATACTGTTTCGCCCATGATACCCCCATGCGTTGCCATTCCTGAGGACTCAGGTGTTATTCCTCTGTACCCAGTAAATTCATATGTTCAGGTATAGAGTATGTATGAGGTGCATTTAGTGCAGACTGACCATCAGTTTGTAGGCGGCCTGCAGCGCGGCGCCGAGCGCGCAGGCTGCCGCTCCTGGCTGCGAGTGCCGCTGCGGCAGGATGCTCAGCAGCTCCTTGACGAGCTCGCGCCGCTCGCCCAGGTTCACCAGCAGCGACTCCGGGGACGGCAGGAACACATCTAATTTTTGTTTTTCAGGGAAAAAAATAAACATTTAATTATTGTCGAATATTTTTTTTTGTTCAAGTTATTATTTATTTTAACTGAACTTAAGAACAACAGTATGATGACATTTAAATAAAAAATAACTCCTTTGCTACCAGCCATCTAACCCATATGTCTAGCGAGAAAATGCATCCTGAATTATCATGTAATCGTTTTGGGCATGCCAAAGGCAGTGGATTACTAACTATTCCTTACTAACTGTGATTAAACTGTAGACTATTCATGTACCATTCAAAAACTACTCAATGGATTTTGATAAAAATGGTATACTGATTAATTTGTACCTAAATGAACACACTGATAACTTTTTATGGTAGTAAATAATAAAAAAAAGCATAATATGAAATATTTTTTAAGGATAGAAAATTGTAATCAGTTTGTTGTTACCGTCGATATCTAAAACGGTCATCTCCTTGGGCCGCGTAAGTCCGTCACTCATGAAGTAGTAGTGTATGTGCGCGTCAAAACAGATAAAACCGACTTGCGTGCGCGCATCGCCGGGCAATTGGTCCAAGTTGTTCTTCAATGTGTCACATACCACCTACAAATAATGTACATTTAAAGTATTTGCTATCCTTAGCTTACTAATATGATAATATTGTAACTAGAACAATGTAGACATGAAGATGGAGACTATGTACAAAAGCCGATTGTGGGTACCTCTGTCCCATTCGTGTTTCAACCGTGAAGCAGTTGTGTTTACATGGCTGTGTTCCGGTTTGAAGCGTGGGATATGGCGTGAATTTACTGGGTACAGAGGAATAACACCTGAGTCCTCAGGAATGGCAACGCATGAGGGGTATCATGGGCGAAACAGTATACTCTGTTATGTCCATGGTGCTGCTCATGTCTATAGGCGACGGTTACCACTTTCCATCAGGTGGACCGTCAGCTTGTTTGCCATTCTAAGTTGTATAAGATATTAAAAATTTAAAAAAATATATTAATACACCATCAAGAAGTAGTCCATTTCATTAATTTTGAATAATTTTAAGAGCAATTGATAATCTTTTATACTTCTTTCTTTAAAATTACGCTCCTTGAACTACGTTTGGTCTTGATCGTATGTCGCTCATAATATATAACGGTTACTGACTTGCAAGTATCCTGATTCCCGTGCTAGTTGCGACACGTCCAGAAGGAACAGGTAGACGGCGGGCTGCGGGGGCCTAAGCATATACTCGCTGGGGGCGATGAACTCGATCGTAGCGGACTTAATCTCCGGCCGCCGGGACGGGTCACCGTACGACTTGCTCACTGGATCATATTGGAACTCCTCTGGCACTGCAATATAAATAGTAAAAAAAAATTTATAAGCGTCATTATCTATTTTTTTTTAATGGATGATAATGGAATTGTAACCCCGCCTGCGCTATCGGTATACACCAGCGAGGGATGATCGATGAGCCTGAAAACAGATCTGTTAGCCTATCGTGACAAATGCAACAAGTATTAGTCACAATAGTTTCCAGGGGGAACCGCGTAGAGGTCGACCTGACAAGGCTTGCTAACAATGAGGCCATTAATCCTCATTACTAACAATCCCTTTCCCCCATTATCTATTCATTTTTTTTTATGAGTGAAAATGGTATGGTGATCCTGCCTGCGCTAACACGATACGCTGGCGGGGCACCAGTGAATGGTGATCGATGAGGATGAAAACAGGCCAGTTAGCCCATCATGATGAATTCATCTGGAATTAATCATGATAGTTTCCAACGGGGAACCGCGAGGAGGTCGACCTTGTTGGGTATATTGCTAGTAATGGGATTCTCAGTCTCCATTACTAACAATCCCTTTCCCCCCCATTATCAATCCACACATTATGATAACATGATGTGTCAGACAATGACGTTAAATGCCTGCTCCTCATGCTAATACAGCTTGTGTTGTGTGAGACAGAGCAATTATTTGTGTGGGGATTACATTTAACAAATATGGTGTTACTAACAAAGCCTAACTGATAGGACGTGAGTAAAACGCCATCGGTGCGTCAACATAATTATTGAATTCGTGGAAATGTCAGTACTACCTAGGTATTGGGGGGAAATGGATTGCTAGTAATGGGGTCTGATGATAGCAATATACCCCATCAGGTGGACCTCCACACGGTTCTTCCTGGAAACCGTCGTGATCGATTCTATTTCTTAATCAATTAGCCCATTTTGACGGATTCAAAATGGGCTAACTGACCTGCTTTAATTCTCATCTATCATCCCTTACTGGTGCCCCGCCAGCCAGAGGAAGACTGTACAAAAGTCGATTGCTTGGGTACCTCTGTCCCATTCGTGTTTCTACCGTGAAACAGTTGTGTTTGCATGGCTGTGTTTCAGTTTGAAGGGTACAGAGAAATAACACCTGAGTCCTCAGGAATGGCAACGCATGGGGGTATCATGGGCAAAACACTATACTCTGTTATGTCCATGGTACTGCTCATATCTATAGGCGACGGTTACCACTTTCCATCAGGTGAGCCGTCAGCTTGTTTGCCATTCTAAATTGTATAAATTATTATTATCATTAGTGTAAAAATATGCCGATAGCGCAAGTGAGGCTACTATACCATTAAAAAAAATACAAACACACATATCCACATTTAAAAGAGCACAATTTTTTTTTAATAGCTACCTATGTACATTCTTAGTAATCCCAAAACTTGTAGTACAGACGTATTGCACTCACACACAGACTCATTATCCCTTACAGATATTTAGTCAAGGACCAGTCACCAAAAGTTCGGTCCAAAGATTCAATACAATACTGTCGAATGTTTGACTTTTTCAATTTTATTATCTAGATATTTTATTCTTATAGTATTGCCTTATTAAGGGTCGAGACAACATGTACAAATATACATAATGACATGCATATCTGAGGATTGGAATATAAACAACTAAACAAGAGTCGTAAACAATAGTATTATATATATATTTTTTCAATACAACAATAGTATTATATTTATATATATTTGTTTCTGTAGTGTATTTCTTGTTTATAATATATTATATATAGTATAAATAATAAATACACTATAGAACCAAATAAGTTGTAAAACTGATTGGTTTTTGGTTTGGTTGGTTGGTTGAATTGGTTGAAATTGGTTGAAAAAACTATCGCGTTGCTTATTGATGATTTTAACAAATAACAGAAAGACTTACAGTCATTGACTCTATAGCAGAGGTTGCACTTCCAACGCTTCGAATCAACGAAGTAAACGAACGGGTTGATATAGGTGCGACACGCGCGACATCGCACTATCGTAGAGCATTGGATAACAGGCAGGTGCTGAAAATATATGAAAAAAAAAATTAAACAAGATACATGAACTTAAAATGTTCTTAATTTATTTGTTTTTATAAACGACTTAAAATATATATCCATTGGATTCACAATTAAATAGCAAAATTATAAACACAAAAGTAAGGTTGTGTTCCACAGTTTTTTGCTCATTTTTTTTTTCTCGTTTGTTGTTTATATTGTATTTTTTACATTGCACTGAATAAAATATTTTTCTTCTTCTTCTTCTTCACAGAAAAAAAAATAACTTCAGTCGTGGCAAAATCGGTTATTTTAATATTAACGGCAATTTTAATATAAGTATATATATACATATATATATATATATATATATATATATATATATATATATATATATATATATATATATATACATACATACATATATGAAACATCCATTTAGGCCACTATTGTATCTATTATAGTGATAGCTCAATACTGCTGACAATCAGAAGTATTCAAAATGTTCACACTCAATTACAAATCTAACATTGATTTTAATAAAAATACTCACATTCAAATCTTTGAAAGGATGAATCAATATCCCTAGAGGCAGTCGTGACTTCTCCAATAGTTTAATTGTTTCAGGAATGCGATTTATTGTACATCGAAAAATGCTGTAAAGATAATAAATGTTTAATTAAAATATTAATAATATATTTTTCATTTAAAAATATACAAGGCGAAAGTTAAATCATTTGTATCCTTATAAAGGAGTCATCGTCATATCAACCATAAATTGTTCACTGCTGAACATAGGATTCACCCTACAGTGGGATTTTGTGGCCACGCTTGGTAGACAGGTTGGCAATAACAGTAAGATTTTGGTGGTGTTTTAAGACGGACACTGCTACCATCCCTCAATCATTAGGTTTCCTTGCCTCTTACGACACTCACGGGAAAGAAAGGGGGCGACCATTCCGTGCCGGAACCACATAGCTTATAAAGGAATGTTCTAATACTACTGAATATTTTTCCCAAATGTACATAATTTAAAAATAAAACGAACAAAAAAATAGTGCAATAATATACAAGTTGAAATTGTTTGCATCTTTTTAGAGGAGTGTTCTATATTAAAACTGAATAATTTTTTCCAAATAAACATCATTCGAAAATGACAATTTTGAGTATTACATAATAACTTTTTTATAATTACTCTACTCCATCCAAAGGTTGCCTGGAAGAGATCGTTTTTTGCTATAAGGTCGCCCATTATTTATTTTCTCAGTATTAATTTTTTTATGTTTGTATCTATAATAAGTTTACTATTGTAATCTTTTGGAAGAAACAATAAAGAGTATCTATCTATCTATCTTGACAACTGGACTGTATTAGAAAGGGAGACTTATTTTTTATCATTGATTTAACACATATTTGTCTAAGAAAATATATAGTTCTACTTTTGATTGTATATTTTATGAGGAACAAAAACGTGTTTAATATATTACAGATATTTGTTTATTTTATTCAATTAATAAAAAATATCTTGTATCGACAAAGATACGCCAACATTGTTAACTAATTGAGAGAAGTATAAAAAAAAACCAGACTAAAAACTTGCATATTAATGTATATACGTAGTACTTACTAGTCATACTAACATCAATTTTTAGTCATAAATTGCAAAGGTTATCTTCGAAATGCTTCCCAAGGTTATTAACATGAATATGAAATAATGAGTAATGGCAATAAAAATGGCAATGTTCATTACCTGTATAGACATAATGAACATGACAGAATATACTGTGACACCCATGGTATTCCTCATATGTTTTAACTGCTGACATACAGATTTTCGACTCTTATAATTTCATTATAGATGTTTTAAGATGTGTCTATGTCCAAGATAAAGCTGTCAATAAATTAATTTAAGTACAAAGATGAATTTAAACTATAAAGAACTCCAACTTTCAGTCAACCTTTAAATGCCTGAAAGACTGATTTTATAAAACAAAAAAGTAATCTTTTCTCCTCTGACTCTCGTCGGTTCTTTTCGACTCCATTTTCTACATTAAACCCCTTATTCATAAAGACTAAAACCTTCTACAAACCCAATTATTAATTTTAGTAGTAACCTAGTAATTTTCTAATTGGAAAATTAGAACAAAATAAAACATTATTAGCACTACAATCTCTCATTTTATAGGCAGTTTTAAACAAGAACACTTTATCTCACAATGTATTTAACAACCTTTAAATATTGTAATCAAATCTTTAAAATAGATCTTGAACTAGAATTTATCAATGTGATGCAGACAGATACTATCAAAATGTCTGATAAATGTAACCATTGTTCACAATCGTAGAAAAAAATATTGTTAGTGCTATTGTGACAACACCTGTACAAATGTTGTTGAAATATTATTTTGTATGAGAGATAATCATAATAAAATTAATTTAACTAATTCAGATTAAAAATTTCAATCATTAATACATTTTTGTTTAAACATACTATTACAGTTTCCTATAAGGGCATTTTGAAATATGTAATTACATATTAATGCCCTAATGCCCTATATTATGAAAGTCTCTCTAATTAGTTTACTCATGTAAGACAAAAGATTAGAGTTTTTGTTTGTAATAAATAATCACAAAAATAACGAATTTTGAAAATTGTTTCATTTATAAAAAGCTACATTATTAGTGACATAATATAGCTTTCTATAAGTGAAACAAAATAACATGGGCAGTATTTTATTAAAAAAAATTAACAATCAACCTATTTACTCAAAACTTCGGCAGGTTATTAGTATATTTATTTACTATATAGGAATCCACCTTAACATCACTAACAATGGCAGTGCATGAGGATCATGATGAGCATCACATTGTGATATATACGGTACTATTCATATCTAGTCTCCATCTTGTGGACAGACAGCTTTTTTGTCATCCTATGTTAAAAAAAAACTCAATATATATTATTATAAAGAGGAAAGATTTGATTATTTATTTGTAATTCTCTATTACTCAAAACAACTTAACCAATTTTGAAAATTAATTCACGTATAGAAAGCTACATTATCAGTGAGTAAAAAAAGCTATATTTTTAAGAGATATAAGAGCCTTAAAAAGCTAAAGTGCGGCATTAATATATAATATACTTACTCAGGGCTGCAATTAGGTGACTCAGCAAACTGGTGTCCCAATCGTATCTCTGGTGGATCTTCTGGATATTCAGGTAACACATGCCTGCATTGTAGAAGATCAATCATATGGTGACCCCATAGTTGATCAAAACCTTGTTTCGTCACACTCAACTGCCCCATTTGCTGGGTCAATCCCTGAGCACCATACTGTTGTGTGTGTTGTTTCCCCATCTGTTGTGCTGCTATGGGCTGGTGATTAATGTAATTACTCTGTGGCATTTGGGGGTATCGATTCTGCATATTGCCCTTCAATGGTCCACTTGGAGGACAGGTTGGTCCACTTGGAGGTCCCAATGGTCCACTCGGAGGGCCAGGTGGCCCATTCTGAGAACCAGATGCTCCGCTTGAAGGACCATATGGTCCATTTGGAGGATTGGATAGTCCACTTGGTGCTCCAAGCGGTCCGCTTGGAGGGCCAGGTTGTCCACTTGGAGGACCGAGTGGTCCAGTTGTAGGACCATAAAGTCCACTTGGAGGGCCTAGTAGTCCACTTGGAGGACCAGGCAGTCCACTTGGAGGACCAGGCGGTCCACTTGGAGGGCCAGGTGGTCCACTTGGAGGGCCGGGCAATCCACTTGAAGCACTAGGAGGAGGTCCAGTAGGCAGACGACCCATTTGATTTCCAACTGGTGGCATACTTTGTGGGCCTGAGGGTAGAGCCTGGGCTCGTGGTGGTATACTTTGTGGAGCAGCAGAATTTTGTGGTATTATCTGACCACTAGGAGGACCAGGAAGACCCATTGGTTGACTATGTCCTGATGGTCCATTTTGATATGGTCCAGGATATGATTGTAATGAACCTCCACTTACCGGAGGTCCTGTGTGTGGGCCACTAGCAGGAGGCATTAATCCACTTGATGAACCACCTCCAAAGGTATTATTTAAAGGTCCAGATGGAGGTCCTGATTGAGGTCCAAAGTTGGGACCATTAAATCCAATTGGCTGACCGGGTCCCACAGGAGGTCCAGTTGAGGATTTTGAACTACTAAATTGAGATGGTCCTGTTATATTAGGTCCAGGTAAATGAGGACTATTTCTTGGTGGGCCCGAAATTGGTATGTTTGGTTGATTGGGTAAAGGTCCCTGAGGTGGACCATGTGCTGCATTTATAGGTGGTGGCCCAAAGTTGGCAACACTAGCAGGAGGCCTCATTCCAATAGGGGGAGTGTTTAATGAACTTGATGATATGGGATATTGCCCCTGAGGCTGAGATATAGGATGCTGAGAAGGAATAGGAGGTCCATTAACAAGGGGCTGATTGTACTGACTAGAAGAAATAAGAGGAGGTGCATTATCATTAATTTGTCTCGACTGAGGTTGAAAGTTAGAATATGGTACAGGTGAAGGATTAGCATTAGAAACCAGTCTTGGACTTCCTGATGTAGTAGACTGCTGAAAACTAGGACTAGGAGTCATAGAAGTTGGTTTTATAGGTGGCCGCATTGGTGAAGATTGCAGACTTGTCTGGGGCAAATGAATCCCAGGATTATTAAATGCAGGAGAACTGCTAGCACTTTGATTATAGTTATTCACATTCTGCAGACCACTGTTCCGATGAGCATGGAGAGGGCTGTTTGAGTTTGTATCTTGTTTCAATCCTGAATAACCAGGTGGCAGTTGGCTTGGAGGTAATTGGCTTACAGGCACCTGATTAAACTGCTGACTATTACTAAATAGTGGTGGGCCTGGGTTGGCATTTGTCAATGGTGCTCCGGGAGTACTGTTGTAAGGATTTGGTGGTAAGTTAGACATGGCTGATCAATCTGAAAACAAATTGTCACTTTCTATACTATGTTTCTTAATAACACGATGTAATGCGTAACCTACCATCAGTTATACAATTAGTTATGTTTGTATTATGATAAAATCCTTGATAATTATTATGATAGATTAATTAAAACATGCAAATTCACTGTTAACAAGACGGAAACGAATAAGAATGAACAAAGACTTACCGCAATCAATATAAAGTATATACACAAGAAAACTGTACACGCACTTTTAGGTTGTTAGACCATTCTCACATATTCACTAGATAGAGCCAATAAATGTCTATAAATTATTTTTTAGAATAAAAATACGACCCTGACTTACGTGGCTGGGTAATTAAAAGCGCCCTCTGTAGATTGATTTTTTTGACATAACACGTCAAAAAAATGACATTTGTTTATAAAGAATGCTATAACACATTACAACATGAAGAGCATTATGACCACTATACACGTCCACCAGAGTGAGTTAAATCTCAAAGTACAAATATTACATGTTTACGTGTTTAGCTTCACAACAAACATTTATATATACTTTATTCTCCACAAAAAAGCTTTTACTTGAATAGCCTCAAAATTTATATGAGATCAAAACAATAGTAAATTTTAATTTTTTTAATAATTATCATTTTAATAATTACTTAAAAGATAATTATTAAAATGGTTCCTGAATTGGCGATGTACAAATTTATTATGAAAACGCTTATAAGCACAGAACAGTCGCAAGAAATTTAAGATGAGTAAACTTTTTCTTTTAAAAGTCGTATACAAATAATGACAATAAATGCCATTCATGTAAATCCAACAGAAGATTTTAGTTTTTGTTTTTAAACATCTTTACCAGAGGGAGACTCAGCACAAAAATTGTTTATTTAGGTACCTCTGTCCTATTCGTGTTTCTACCGTGAAACAGTTGTATTTGCATGCTTGTGTTTCGGTTTAAATAATGGGATATAACAGTGAATTTACAGGATACGAAAGAATAACACATGAATCTTCAAGAATGGCAACGCATGAGGGGGTATCATAGGCGAAATAGTATACTCTGTTATGTCCATAGTATACTCGTGTCTATGTCTATGCTAGACCATAGTGCTCATGTCTATAGGCGACAGTTACCACTTTCCATCAGGTGAGCCGTCAGCTTGTTTGCCATTCTCAGTTGAATAAAAAAATATCTATAAATGACTTGATAAAAAAATAATAAATGTACTTGATGAAAAAATCAAAACCAAATTATTAAAATAATCTATGCTAAATGTCTCTATGCTGTACTTGATGAAAAAAAATTTGCTTAAATATTATTCCCCTTCATCACAAGGAAATATGGTTAAGGTATACAATATATATATATATATATATATATATATATATATATATATATATATATATATATATATATATATATATATATATATATATATATATATATATATATATATATATATATATATGTACCACTGCACATGCATTATTTAAGATAGTTTCGTTACTTTTAGAGTAAGATCTGCAACAATTTACGAAATTGATGCATACAAATTTGACGAAACCTCGGAATGACCTTTCATAGTAGATGTGTAGGTTTTATGGATGAAAACGGAATGGAAACCCCACCTGTGTTATCGATATACATTGGCAGGGCACGAGTGAGAGATGACAAATGAGAACAGAAACAGATCAATTGGCCCATTGCGACTAATTCAACAGGAATTAACCACAGTGGTTTTTTTTATTAATTCGCGGTAGGTACATTATTTAAGGCATCCCGTTCTCTATATTGGATATTGGTGACAGTATATCTATGGTGTCCAGGAAGAACATAATGACAGAGCTGTTAGACCATATTACTAACGATCTCTTTCCTCTAGATGTATAAGTTTTTTTAATGGATGATAATGGAATGGTAACCCCGCCTGGGCTAACGGTATACGCTGACAGGGTACCAGTGAAGGATGATAGATGAGAATTAAAAAGTGGGTACATTGCTAGCCATGGGATTCGTAGTTCACATTACTAATAATCCCTTCTTCCTAAACAGATGTGTAGGGTAGGTTTATATAAAATGATCTTTCCACGTGTTTTTATACTTCTAAACTGCAGATATAATTAGGGGGAAAGGATAGTTAGTGCTGCGGGTCTAACTACTCCATTGCCAGCAATACACCCTATCAGATCAGCTTTACGTGGTTTCCCCTGGAAACCATCGTGGTTAATTCTAATGCAATTCATTATGAGTTAACTGACCTGCTTTCATCGTCACCCATCATCCGTCACTGGTGCCCCACTAGCGTATACCGTTAGAGCAGACGAAGTGATCATTTCATTAACACCCATTAAAATAACCTTGGGGTATAATCTAAATAAAGATGCTGCAGAGAATCACACGGCAAGTTCCATTTTCCTCTGTCTCAATCTTCTGGTATGCACTATTCAACTGTCAAACTAACGGAAAGAAGCAATAGATTTTAAGCCCACGCATGATACTAGCTTTTACCTGGAACTTCCTCCGCTTGATATGTTTTTTTATGCAACTTAAAATGGCAAACAAGCTGACGGTCCACCTGATGGAAAGCGGTAACTGTCGCCTATAGACATGAGCAGTATCATGGACATAACACGAGTATACTGTTTAGCCCGTAATACTCCCCCCCCCCATGCATTGGCATGAAAACTAAGGTAGTATTCCTCTGTACCCTATAAATTCACTGCCATATAAAATATATATCATAGCCATGCAAACAACTCCTTTACGGTTGAAAACACGAATAGGATAGAGGTAACCAAGCAAACGACTTTTATAGTCTTCCTCTGGTGAATCCCCATTTATAGAAATATATATGATAAGTAGAAATATTTTCAATTTTTACCAATCAAAGAACAGCTTGTTTGTCTAAAATTAAATTGGTCCTACGAACCGGATTGACATTTCTCGTTTTATCGCATTCAACTGAGGGATTACCGTGAAAATCAATTGATCAAGTTACTTGCAGCGATATGTTAGAATTAATCCAGACTTGAGATTCAGCAGGTAGCACTACTTCCTACGTTATTACATTTGATATTTAAGCCATACAAATTTTATATATGTCATGTATATAATTTTTCTTAACTACATATGTATAAGAAAAACTTTATATATTTGTTACTAAATAAGTAATAGTTCAATATGACCATAACGTGTGCGACTAACATTAGGAATAAACATGGCAATTCAACAGGGTTTTTTTTTGATGGGTAAAAATGGTATGGTAACCCCGCCTGCGCTAACGGGATACGCTGGCGGAGCACTAGTGAAGGGTGACCGATGAGAATGAAAACAGACCAGTTAGCCCATCATGGTGAATTCATCAGGAATTAACCATAATAGTTTCCAAGGGGAACCGCGAGGAGGTCGACCTGGTTGGGTATATTGCTAGCAATGGGATTCCCAGTCTCCATTACTAACAATCCCTTTCCCCTAGTCAACAGGGTTATGTAATATTAGTTACAAAAACGACGATTACCATTTCTCCATCGGACGCTCAGTCAGCAATTAGTATAATGCAAAATAAAACAAAACATGTAAAAAATTCAAACATCTGTATTTCAGTGACAGTTCAAATCAATGATTTAGTCGAAAACAAAATTTTAACAATTTTCTGCGCAGTTAATATTTAGTATTGATTGGATAAGCCACCTGACTATAAAATATAGAATTAGGAATCTTAAATATTCAATTTAAATATAAAATTTGTGAATAAAAAACAATAACGGCCAATAGTAAGGTCGTCTGAACCTTTCTCCAATCAATATTGTTTGTACGCAGGTCTACTAGCACAGGTCTACACTTAACATTACTTCAACGCTTACACTTTCAGCAATATAAAAGTATTCAAACTGATCACAATGTTTAATGGCAGCTCTAATACGGAACCCCATGCAACACTTATCGTACCAACCAACACAGCTCGATTCCAATATATGACATTTCAATTAATCAGTTCACAAGTGATCTTTTTATCCCTCTCATCCATAAATAAGTGCATACGATAGGATGCTCTATTTGTACGGATCAAAAAAATACGCGAAACTAAAGTAACACTTGCACCTATAAAAATGTCACATATTAATTATATCTTAACACTCTTATATAAAACATTTTATTCGTTCTTAATTAATGAGATGTGGTTTTTCATCGTTGGTAAAAATGCAAATAACGATCACATAAACAGACTAGTATCCAAAAACTCCATCGAAAATGACATAAAGTAATTTCTATTTATTGCAAGGATAGGCCACAAACGAAAGGCGATTTACACAAATACATAAGCTCAATTTCAAAATTGCGGATTTTATAAATCCAAAAAAAAAAAAAGAAACTGTAGTCGATAATAATAATATTATGTAGATCAGCACAACTATCTCAATATAATACGATTTTTAACGACCGTCTCGGTCACGGGCGTGCAGATGCACCGCCTCCACATAACTCACAAATACATCATCATATCTACATATCGATAAAACTATTCAGTCGTTTTTTGTTTATTCATAAAAATATATCTTTAAAAGGCTCAAATAAAACTGTTATAGCTCTATGTATAAGGTCCGTTCGCCGAGCGGCGATCGGTCACGTATCACTGGAGGAATATATTCCATTGGCACAGTCTGAACCGGTGGTGGCCGCGCGGCCCGGCGAGAGGCGCTCGGTGGAATGTTGCGGGCCGCGCGCGCTCCGCCGGCGGCCGAACGTCGACTGACAAGCCGCTAGGGGGCGGTAGCGTGCGCCGGCCGCCAGCACACTGGGCTCGGGAGGACGTGCCGGCGGGGCGCGGAGCTAGTGCACCGGCAGCGGCTTGTCGACGGCGTGCTGCAGCCGGCGGCGCAGCAGCTCGGAGTCGGTGGGCGGCGAGAGGCCGAACGGCGGCGAGCAGTAGCGCTCGAGCTCGTCCGCCTCGAGGATGCTGTCGTGCGGCGGCGGCAGCTCGAGCGCCGCGTCCGGGCTCGGGTAGCACGACTTGCTGCAGCGAAGCGCCGCCGTCGGCCGTTCCATGTACGAGTAGTTCATGGAGAAGTGCTGCTGGATCACCCGGTTCACGGCCATCGCGGACTCCGCGAAGTTGGACAGGTTGCGCGCCGACATGTTCCTGTTGGCAATGATATACGAAGTTAGAGTTGTTGTTTGATTAAACAATTACCATATTGTACACCTTTTTAAATTTCTATTGCTACAACATCTTTTAGTCAGCTCTACTCAATCATTGCACTATTATCACTTTATCTAGTCGAAGCTTTCATTTACACAGCATAATTGAAGTTAGTTATGCAGAAAATTGCAATCTCCTATGGGTATCCAATATAATGTGGTTCTTTTCTGTATAAATAGCTTCAATTGGTGCTGATGCACTTTTTCTAGCACCAAAATCTTCTTTATTTGGTGCACTTTACCTCTATCTCTATCATTCCAATCCCTAAATGAAAATAGTGACATTTCGAAATATTCAATCAATATAATAGTTATATCATATATAATATTATAGTTATATATAATAGACATCAGTAAGACTCTTATAATCGGGCCAATTATTTGTTTATTAACATTTTTAAGAACTATGGAAATGAAAAATAGCCGTGAGAGCCCAGCATTGAATGGGCCACTCCTTCCTTTCCCTTGGGTGGGGCAAAGCCCTCCAGAACTACATATGTTTAGCAGTGGACAGTTAACGCCTGATATGATGATGATGATGAGTGAAACGGTAGTCTACTTGGGAGTCGTGTGAAAGCCACCAACCGTTTGATATTGATGGGCGTCTGCAGCGGCGGGAAGTGTGCGTGCGGGTCGGCGCGCCGCAGCCAGGGGTGCTGCAGCACGCGCTCGGCGCTCAGCCGGTGCGACGCCTCGCGCACCAGCAGCTGCCCGATCAGCTCCTTGGCCTCGCACGAGATGTGGGACCACTCCTCCTCCGGGAACGAGTACCGTCCCTCCTGTTCGACAATACATCATTTCTAATTTACAATACGATAGCAAAAACAGTGCCAGTTGCACTGGACAAATCTGAAAGTTTGCTCTTATCTGTGCTAAGTCGAGGTCAATGTGAGAACGATGTTAGTTGTTAAAATGAAAGCAAAAGTCGTTTTTAAAGTTCCTTCGACTTTAGAATTTTTGGAATATTAATGCTAACATTACACTTGTATTAATTTACTGGGGAAGCTCATATTCTACAGTGAAGAATTAAATGCTATAATTATGATAACCAATGAATTAAATGATATTCGATTATACAAAGACTAAGTAACGAAGTAAAAATAAGTTCCAAGTTTTTTTTTTTTTGTTTCATTCGTAGTTTAAGACCTTATTGTCCCTAAGTAAAGACAAATACGTAATAAAACAAATCGTACCTGTATAGAAGTGAAGAGGAGGTCCTGACAAGCGCGGCAGTTCTCGCCGCGTTCCCAGCCACAATCCGCGCCGCAGTCGGCGCGGAATGGTGGGTACCCGCACAGCAGGATATAGGCAATGACGCCCAGCGACCACAGATCGCAGCGCTTGTCGTAATGCGTCGCTGCTGACCCCGCAAACAGAGATACCACTTCTGGCGCCATGAACTCTGCACTGCCCACCTGTTGGCAATTATCAGAAGTTCGAATCAATATCTTGGAGCTGCGAAGTTCACATAATAAATATAAACTTATTACTGACGTTGTTGAAAAGTAAGTTTCTTGCTTCCATACAATAAGCAAACTTTGGAAATGCTGGACAGATTCTAATATTTCTCATAATGTCATAATAATGTCTCTTGACATCATGATAGTGCCGTGAGGCGACTAAGGAAACATAATGGTCGAGAGATGAGTAGCAGCATCCCTCATAAAACATCACCAAAGGTTAACTACGGTTGCCAACCCGCCTACTAAGCGTGACGACTACTAGCAAAACCTCCTGAGGCGAAGGCCTATGTTTAACAGTGGACGTCTACACCTGACGTGATGATCACAATAATACCCTTAATACACAGTAACCAGCAATTTCACTGCTACATCTCACTCTTCAAATCGAAATACAGCATACGGGAACTTACTTAGCGGCACAATTAATACACGATAGGACAAAATATCCCTCTATTAATAATAATAATTCATCACTACAAAGATTTGTAAAAGAAGGTCGACTTTTAAAAACCACATAAACTTTGTATATATTTGTGCACAATTCATGAATGAATCTGCTTTTTATATAATTCTTTTCAATATTCACTAGGTTTTTCGGAAACCGAAATTGAAACCTAGACAGACTTTTCCGTATATCCCAATAAATTTGGTACATTCTATTTATTCCCCCACCCCAAATCCTTAGCCCATACCTATATATAAGCCGCCCGCCATCCTCCCCTCACACCCAAAAACTAGACACGCCTATATAAACCTCCCCAAATATAACTTCCTGAATAAGTAACTGAAAAATAAGTAGGTCAGTACCGAAATTTGTAGGAGCATTTATTTTTAATCTTTGTTTCGTGTTTTCTTCTATGCACTGATGCTTTGTTTATCCTTCGACAATTTAAAAATACAACGGAATAATGTTAGTTAATACACTGTGTATGTGGATAAGTTCTTCACCACCATATGGAAGTAAAATATGATGAATAAGCCACTACCGTGTACGCTATATTTATTGTAATATAAACGCCATAACCTAAATGACAAGAGAACTTCCAGGAGGAATGCTTATAATAACTTTTCTAAGTATTTTTAAAAGATCATCAACTGGCAATTCGCTTCTAAACACTGTTTTTGGGATGCCGTGATTAATTATCATCATCATCATCAGGTAACCTGAAACCTATTTACTATCTCTGTTTGGTAAAAAATAAATTATTAGGTGGAACTTACAGGGGTCATCAGCTGCGGCGTTGCCAGCGGACTGGCGAGGCTCGAAGTGAAGCTGATCCCACTGCCTAGATCAAAGTCACAGATCTTCACGGGGCACAGTCGGTCGCGGTGCACGCACAGGATGTTCTCCGGCTTGAGGTCGCGGTGGGCAACACCCTTGCCGTGCAGAAAGTGCAGCGCGTTTGCAATCTCGCGCACAATCTCGGCGGCTTGCGGTTCTGAGAAATAGTGGTGCTCCTGGATGCGAGATAGAAGCTGACCGCCGTTGATCTAGAACAAGCATTATATCACGTATAAATATCTTTAAATTGCACAAACGATGTACATTTTAATATAACGAATACCGGTTTAACTAACGTGTATTTTCGTCGAGATAACTCGACTAGTTACGGGACCATTTGAGACACTCATTCATGAGCAGCTATAATACGCACTTACGAAACTTTTAACAATAAAACAATATAAAGCCCACGAGTATAATCATGAGATAGAAGAGTTTTTGACCGTCATGTTGTGACAGTGCCTATAGTCAAATTGTTGAAATGAGTTTTTGATACAAATACCTGGATATACTAATATAAGTAAATTATATAATTATATCTATGCAGCCTTATATAAAATTGTCTGTTAATTTTATAAAGAATACCTAACTACTTCTAAACACTGAGGAGAAAATGTAATTAAGTAAAGCTTATGAAAGATTGATCTACTAAGTAAGCTAGAAATAGAACTGTTGAGATTTTAATAAACAACTATATCGAAGTGTAGAGAAAAGAAGTACTCTCGAACACGGAATAGTGACTTATTTAGTAACCTGTACAGTATCTATATGTTTGTACCTATGTTCTTATTATATACAACCAGTATATATATTTTTCGAATTTCGTTATAAAATTGCGAAAACGCAAAAATACAATTATCTACATCATGCCAACTCAATTAGAAAGTATATTTCCTACCCATCATGGTGATTCAATGGAAAATTGACCACTTTATGGAGATTTTTATCTTGGATCTTCTAGAATCGAAATAAATGTAATAGCGACTAGCGAAAAGTATTATAAGTTTGACATGTTTGTGTGTCTTTGTGACAAATGGTCCGATTATAATGTGTATTTTTTGTTTGAAAACTGACATGATCGAGATGGTTGTAAGCGACAATTTATAAAGATCTGTTCAGGCGTTTACTTAAAATTCTTAACTTAATCATTGAAATAGGTTGTTGAACCTATAAATTTGGCAACTGTATTATACATCTGTTATTTATAAGTATTATGTATCAACTAGTCATCAATGTGCCTTTAAGTAAACAAATAAATTATTATTTATTGTTATAATTTTCCTATATTAAATAATTGAATAGGTACTGGTAACAAATAACAAAGTAATAGGTATTAACAATAATATGAGTAATATTTAATTAAACATCAATGGCATTCCAAAACATTACCTACTAAGCATATATATAAAGTACAAAATGGTAACATGAATGAACATTCTTGTTAAACGCGAATAATACTGATATGTCTGTCTTGTAGCGAAAAAAAAAAATAAAACGCCTGTTAAAATTTTATTGTTTAATAGCTATTCATACCTATCTACTTTGTATTTATAATTTATAATGGCGTATTTGTTATTGTATTTGACTCATAAGTCAACGGAACTCGCGTGACTCCAGTCCCCCGAAATATTAATAAGAAAAAAAAAACGTTTTAAGAAATTTGCAATTGTATAGTGATATGACTAAAGTCACAATAATGTGACATGAAAAATATGTATGTAACGCATTCATTATAAATGTTTTTGTCATATAACTTTATTTCTTAAAATGCCAACAAATGAAAAACAATTTTGAATAGAACACGACAGGATTTTTTTTTACTGTAACTTGTGTATTTGTTTTTTATATGTCTGTCTTCACTGCAGTCCCTTACGGAATAGGCCAAGAGATGTCCTTCAGCATTCCCCCATAAGGGGTACCAACAGAAAATTTAATCGTTACTTGAATCATAATTAACATATTATATTTATTTAAATGTATATATTATTACACATGTTTTATTCACATGAGCGGTCTTTTTTTTTATTTGATACGCTTCTTTCGCCAATTAGTGTCTCTACCCAATACCCAAAGGTTGTCTTTGTAAAAAAAAACATGTTGTTGCATGGTGTTATACAATCTCGATATTTTATAAATAATATTCCGTGTAAAAGAAACTAATGCAGTTAAAATAAACTACTTAGACCTTAATAATGAAAAAAATTACCTAAAATATTTTTTGATGTACAACATTACATTTTATAACTGCGTGCCAGGCAAATAGTCAAATAGTAGCCACAAAATATTACAAGAGGCTAATAAAAAAATACCTTAGAAATAAATTTAAAATACCAACGTCTTTTAATCAAATCGATTGCAACTGAGACTAATTTGGCGTAGCAGAAATAATTGTGTCTTGAATTATGAATGAAGTTATTCAAATAAAATCCAATACTGGAAGAAATTCATTTACTTCACTTGCCCGCGGATATTTATCAGCGAAAAATAATAAATGTTGCGTGCCATCATTAGATTAATGTACATATTGACGATCCGAAATAAATTCCTGGCTAGAGTTATGCAAATTGAGGACAGAATAGGCTGTCTAATAACAGTGGCATGATAATTTGTCAAGACAATAGATAGAATTGCTGAATTGTGCGTAGTATTAACGCAAAATAGACATGTATATATAACCCATAATGTCCTTACATTATGGTGGTCGTTTTGTGCAACTTGCTTGAAATAAAGTCGTGATATTTTCCAATTAGCAAAAATAGTACCTAATTATTTTGTAGTCATCTACAATCCTACGTAATCCTAACTAAACAAATAGGTGTAATTCCTACCTACGTGTGTCTTCAGGAAGAGCCACAGATACAGATGGAAATAGATGACGCTATACGGATACTATTAGAAAAGATAGTATTTACTGTGATATTACAAAATCTATTTATTGTTAGCAAACTCTTTCCGCGTCAAACTTTTTCGAAAATAGTTGTAATGTTATTTTTGTAAACATTCTAAAATTCTTCTAAATAGATGTCATATATAAACTTCGAATAGCTTAGACGGTTCAAATAGTCTCTTTTAAGCCAATTTAGAATCAAAAAAGTATAGCAAAACACATGCAGCTGCGATATCTATTTAAATCCACATCTCGACTAGAAATGAAGCGATAAAAACTTCCACCTTTTCAATCTGTCTAAAAATATTAACGAAAATATCTGCTCACCTTCTCGAAGACAAGGTAGAACTTGTCTGTGTCCTCAAAGAATTCGATGAGCTGGATTATGTTAGGGTGCCCCTGACAGTAGTGGAAGGTTTCCACCTCGCGGAACACCCGGGCGCGGGCGTGGCCTGGCACCTTATCGATGACCTTCACAGCAAACTCCTGGCCCGTGTAGATATTCACACATGTTTGGACAGATGCGTACGCGCCCTCGCCCAATATCTCGCCAGTCAGCTTATAAAGATCTGCAACAAGATATAACATATTTCGGCACGGTGACTTAAATAAGGGCCTGCTTAGAGTCATAACCACCTCTGAAATGAGATGTTACAGGAGAAGTAGATTACTGGTTGCATAAAGGGCATACCTATAGTGGGTCGCCATTTGTTTTGCCATTTCATGGAGCACTCTCATTGTTTAATGTAGTAAATACCTTGTTTTATACAAGAAGTTTCGCCTCAATCAATGACAAATTAAATTATTAATAAGTTAAAAAAATACCTTCCGGCAGCTCGATCTGATGGGATTCGAACCCACACCTCTCTGCTATCCGGGCTGAGCGTGTTCCCAGTTACACCACGGAGGGAATACTGAATAAGGAATGCAGGGTTTTAATGCATAAAAATATATTTTACATACATATAACATGCTCAGATTTCCATAATTCATAACATAAATAGCAATAACTTTTTTATATTTAAATTTAGAATGGCAAACAAGCTGACGGCCCAACAAGGGAAACCGGTAACTACCTCTTATACACATAATAGAAACAAACGTCATAGAATGTATCGTGACGCCCATGGTACCCCTCATGCGTTGCCATTCCTGAGGACTGTGTGACCAACCCCTACATTTCACTGCCTTATACATCCAACTCTTAAAACCGAAACACAGTCATGCAAGCACAAATATTACATGACAGAAACATGAGTAGGACAGACATACGCATGGAGGCAGACGGTTTTTGTACAAAGTCTCCCTCTGGCGAGTGTACCAAAACCAATAACAAAAAGATCTCTTAGACTTCCAATGACATTTATTTCGAATTCTCACCTTGAAAACATGACGTGACGACAGAGCTGCCGGAACGCTTCTTCCTTCGGCGCTTCCTGCGCGCCTCTTCCTTACGCCGTTGAAGATCCTCGCTGTCGGGAATGGAGACCGGCGCTGAGGGTTCGGAGCCGTGCGGGCTCTCGTCCGAGTCTCGCTCACTGCCCGACTGGCTGCTGCAACGGCCGACGCCTGGCGACAAACATACAAATCTTTATAAGTTATGCACAATATTAATATTCAAAAACATACCCTATATCATAATGTCCGTTCATACTAATCTCCGAAACCGGTTAACCAATTTTAATGATTTTTTGTAAATGTATATTGTTTAATCTAACACTAAAGGTAGGACAGTCTTCATCTCGATGAAGCCAGTAGTTGCTGATAGTGGGTAAAACGTTTACCAGGTCAGATTTCAGTAATATTCAGTAATGGTTTTAAATAGTTCCCTGTCATAATGCTAAGTGCTTATTATCTATACGTATATACTAAATAACAGGCTCCTAGCACAATTATGCCAACCTTATTAATATAGACCTTAGCGCAAATAATTACAAAATGTGAAAAACTATTCTAGTGAGATTGTAGAGAGAGAGAGAAAGATTGTTTTTATTTCTGGTTGTTAAAGATAGTTTAGTAATTAAAAAAAAAAAACTCTATGCTGACAACTATCTTTTATGTTACTACTACTAACTACTCTGTGTTAAAAAAATACTTAAAAATAAAAACAAAGTGTTGTGCCACATTTAAAAAAAAATATTGTAGAATCATAAATAATAATAATAAAACAACTGATAAAATTATAAAACATTTAATTCCACCCCTCAACACTGTTGATACTGTTCCCAGTGAGTACTTCAAATTGATTAGTAAAATGTAGGTTAAATAGTGGGGCAGTTTTCAAATATTAATAATTACTGCTAAATTCAAAACAATTACTTGATAGTCTTATCACTTATCCGAACATAAATCTATTATATGTGGATATCTAAGCAAAATTAATCGCTCGATTCAACATCAATTTAATATTTTTCTATTTATCACCAACCATAGATTAAGAGAATTTTGTCACAGATGCTTACAAGAAACTACATCGCTTATGTGGACTGTGATGAGCCTACCTTAATAAACAATTTATTACCGTTATACGAAACGAGGTCATTGGCTATACCATACATAATAATGTTCTTATAAATAGATATGTTTTTAAATACATAATCTAAACGTAATATTATAAAGAAGATAATTTTTTTTAATGTAAGTAATGTATAATCTTAAAAAATACTGATTTAAAAAATCTTTTACGTATTAAAAGCTACATTAACATGAAATAAAATGGGCTATATAAATTTTATTTTAAAAAAAGCTATGCAAAACCGGTAAAGGCTGCTAGTTACGGATGAAAAGAAATTCGTCTGATTCATAAAAAACTTGGAAGGAACCTAATCTTGAATGAAATCAATAAAAAGACTTCTAAATTAACCTCTTGTCTAATGTATACCTATGCATTTGTAAAGAGCTTAATTTTATATAAAATGCTTATTAAATAATTTTAACAAGTAATAATTTATTTATATTAATTATGCAGTATAAGTACTTTTATAAAATTACACAAGTGTTATTGTTTATGGAAAATTTTAGAATCCAAATAAGTTATTACAATATTTCACAAGAGTTTCAATTTTATCGTTGATTATAAATGCCTATATGAATTTATTATTTATGACCTAATGCATGCCATATGTACGTTACAATACAATGAAAAGAGTTCAGACCATCGGCTCTCACTCGTATTCATAGCCAAGCTATTGTTAAAATGTTTTCACCATGTTTGGATTTCAAATTGCGGCCCTATGTTTATGTATGCCATAGACCGCCAGAATAAACAAAAGATTGCTTTCAGCAATAAGACTGTCTTACTGTACTCATGCAATTATATCGTTACATTTATTAATCGTCTTGCTTATTCCTTATAATGTATAATGCAAATAAAGTATACTTATATTATTTATTAAATAAACAATGATCAGGGAATAGAGATATTTATTACAATAATTGTTTTTTAAACTGTTTTAAATCTGTACTAATTAAAATTTACTCGTAATTGATTTGAATTAAAATTGACAATGATATCACGGTAGAATGGTCGAAACAATTTAGTCTTCTGGGAATATTTATGCGTATTCTGTAAGGGAGAGCGTCACGTTTGTCATCTATAATGTAGTAGCTGTGACGTGGGACGTGACTGTGCAAGCTGAGCTGGCAAACAAAGCCGGTTCAACGACCTACATGGCCGCACCCACTGACGGTGCGTACGCGCCTACGTTACGAGAACGTTCAGCTTCTGCTGCAAGCGACCACCAGTCTCGTCACATATAAGCTCCTTACATTACCAATTGGCATGTGCTGAATGGAGGATCCGGATATGTTTCTTGTTCTAAGAGGTATCAGGGAGACAAGTTTTGGAAGTAAACATGCGTTCATCAAACGAATTAAAAGTATAAACGCAACTAAGCAAGAATTAGGGCAGCAACAAGAACACTAATCTTTCGAGCCTACCTTGTAAGTAGCTTAGAATGTAGATAGTGATACTAAAATATTAGCGATACCTAACTAGGTATAAAAAAAAAGTTGTAGGTTTTCTCCAATAATTCAGATACAAGTAACAACCACTGTATTAATTCAAGTTCAAGTATCGTTTGTTTACTAATGTAGTGTTTGGCCGAACTTAATTCAAATTAACCTCAAAAGAAGTTTTGGTTTTAGTCTAGGCGAAAACTAGAGCAGAAACCCAAATTCCGTTTCGGTTTCGGCTATGAAACCTAGTTTTGATCGAACACTGATCTTATGCAGGAAGACGAGATCACCTAGTTACGTGCACCACAAAATTGTATTTACTGCACGTAGTATCTTCCTCGTACCTTGTTCAAGCACAAGGAAGATACTTATCGTAGCACCCAACTTAGCTTACTAATACGATTTGATTGCATTTAAGCGTTTTAAACGTATAAAATCTGCATATTCTGTTTTATAATGAATGCGTAAGTGTTGCGTGTAGATTGTATGGAACACACGCTCCATTCGACAAATAAGGAGATAATAAAAACGAAATTTAACAATTAACAGCACGCGGTGACCTCACTTTAGGACGTACAAATATACATAATATACATATATGTACGTATTACGGCAAATAGCAACCGGCAAATGCGCAATAGGTGAACGATTGTAACAATCGTTCGAGCCACGCCCACGCATACAATCGCCCGTTTCAACATACAAACTTCCTGTTTACATACATATAAATGTGCTAAATGTGTATAGAAATTGATATTTAATGTATAACAGGAATATAATTACGATTTTGTTTATAAACATTGCACATAAATGACCTAAATTTATAACAAATAAAGCAAAAACTGGACATCATCTACACAAGAACAAAGTAATTGAAGCTAGCAACATTAATTTTGGTCTTAGGAGCCGGAGATGAAGCTATCAGTACTAAAATTTTACAAAAGTAATACTACATTAGGATAACAAAGAAAGTATCACAATTCTAACGAGAAGGATACATAATAGATTCAAAAACAGCTGATAAATATTTGATAAACTTTCCCTAATTTGATATTACAAAAAGAAATGTTAACTAGATTAAATTAGAAATCCATATAAGAGACATTACAGTTTTACCAAAATCGAGATTTGGGCACGGAAACACACCGCCGTCATATCGATTGCTCTCACGCAAATAATCTGATATTAAAATAAAAAAAAAAAACAGTCGTCAGCAGAACAACGATGTAATCGAATACACGCTATGTAACCCCGAGATCCACATGCATCGTTTCGCGTGACACGCCGTGCGTCTTGACGCCACGTGGACCAGACACTTGGCTCGCCAACGTGGGCAGTTATGTAAAAACCACTTTATTTTACTTTTTTTTAAAGAAGCAATGAAATGATAACCCCTCCTGCACTATCGGTATATGCCAGCAAAGCACCAGTGAGGGAAGTTAGGTGAAGAAGAAAGCAGGCCCTTGAAGACAAATTCTACTGACTCCTGAGATGTAAACATGTTGCTAACAATAAAAAAGTTAAACCCCATTACTAACTGTCCCGATGTGCAATTTGTCCAAAAATTTTACGAAACGGGATCGCTTGAACACAGAAGTTTAACACTTCTCCATCCGAGGTCAAACCGAAAACAATGGTTTGCCCCAGAAAATGCACGACGTCTTATCAAACAAAAGGTTATTAAAGTAGTAATCACCTTGCTATTATGTTAATAAAATAAGTGACAGAATTAAAAATGTATCCATGGCCAATTTAATTTTTCTAAATGGAAATTAAGTATATTATTAACTGATATGTATAAGAAATTAACCTAATAACATGGAAATCAATGGAAGCAGGTGATTATATTGGTTATACAATCAACGGTGAATTTAATTATATAATCATGTTATACATATTTAGAGTAATCAAGTGCTAGTTACGTGTAAAAAATTAAAAAAGAAAATTATTTTAGGCTTCGCGATGCTGATTATAGAATTTTTTTTTTATAGTGGGTTAGAAAGAAACAAAAACAGAATGTATACTACCGGCGGACCTAGAAATGAACATATAAGATCGAAAACGTAAACGCTATTATTAATGATGATGATATATTATTGATAGGATGATGAAAAATTTGATAACATTTTTCCTAACAGAACTACAGAATACTAAGCATTTGAAAAGTAATTAACCACCAAATTCTGCTTGATCCTAACAATGTCTATATATTTGCCCGTTAAGCCGTTAGGTTTCTACTTTCTAGTCTTGTCAATTCGCTTAAAGCGCTTTCTAGTCAGATCACAAGCACATTGTGCTTTTGTTTCATACCCCTAAGCGGCTAAACGTCGAATATACTTTCTAATTGCACACAAATGCCCTTAACTATTTACTCTCAATTGATCTTTAATATACTTACAAACATTTAAAGATCATATCAAGCCAATTAACTTTATCTATATGCGACGAGTCACGAGTGCTTGCAAAACCAGCCTGTCATTTCTAAATCAGTAGCTAAATAAATTGGAGTTAACAATAATTGTATATTCAAAGAGCAAAGTCGAGTCGGCTAGAAGTAGAACTGTGGTGTTAAATAAACTGCCAAGGCGGTCTGGCACAGCTACCGAACTAAACTACATAGATAACATCTCGGTGAAACTTCGATGAGGGCGTTTCGAACTATAACTACTGTATAATACGAAGCACTTTCACTATTCAGTGATCTAACCCTCATGCCTAATATAGATGATAACATTATGATGTAGATACCTACATATATAAACGACATGGTAACCCGGGCGATTTAGTGGCACCATATTTAGGAGAACGAGTAGCGCCTCTGATGCATACAAAGTAAAGCAAACAAATATAGATACCCTATATACATCAGCTTGCGTATGCCCGGACACTAGGGAGAGAAAATACTAAAAAGGGAACATGTTAACCAATGTTAGGAGGTCCTATGCAAGTGGTCGCGTCAAAACAGAAATCGATTTGCAGAAGGCGCAGTAGGGTCGAGGGGAACGGGGCTTCATATTACGCCGCACCGGCATATAGTAGTCTCGGTCAAGGTTACACAGTTTTACTCAACTGATAGACACGAATGACTAACTCTTAATCAACACAGAATCGAATTACAATCCGATGTGATATCCAATTGGAAAAGGACACTCCTTGTGAACGACGTTAATATAAATACTTATATAATAGAGTTCGATGAACTGATAATATTTTTTGCTTTGTTATATTTATAAGAGGACCTTGAGTTGGCCTTGATTGCAGAAACTGTATTTTTGTGTGAATCTTTTGAAACAACAGTACAAAAAGGTAACAATGAGTAATTTTCATTAGAACATATTTTAATTTGCAGATCCATTGCGTCGATGAAAAACTGAAAACACTTAGACAGTTGCACGAATCCCACGACAATTGTACATTAATCAATCCAGCTGATTGGATGATAATGAATTAATGACGTGGACTAATAATAATCCTCTTCCAGTCTTCAGATTATGTTTAGGTAGTAAACAACCACAATACACAATAGCCTGTAGTAGAATATATGTACAGATACCATGAATCATAAGGCACTTATCAAGCGTATGTTTATTTATACCTATGCATATAGGTACCTATTATCGCAGTCCAGTTATGTAATGGTAACAAAACACCGACTATACCTCAAGGTCTTGCCTAAAGGCGAATGTACATACAGGAGAGAAATTAGAGGATACAATCCACATCAATCGGGATGAATGTGAGCCAAGAATTGGATTTTTTTTTGTGGATGAAAATGGAATAGTTACCCCGCCTGTGCTAACGGGATACGCTGGTGGAGCACTAGTGAAGGGTGATAGATGAGAATGAAAACAGGCCAGTTAGCCCATCATGATGAATTCATCAGGAATTAACCATGATAGTTTCCAAGGGGAACCGCGAGATGATCGACCTGGTTGGGTATATTGCTAACAATGGGATTCTCTGTCTCCATCACTAACAATCCCTTTCCCCCAGAATTGGATATTAAGTTGCTTATGCTGCCAGCTTACAGAGAGTTCTACTAATTGACTGCTGATAATGTACTAACCACGGATAATGTGAATTCGCCTTAATGTGGTAAGTCGAATGTTTTGTTTTAGTGGTTGACCTTGACAATGAACGTGGGGCGTCGCGCCTCAGCGGCCATGTTGAAAATAAACTTACGGAGGGTACGTAATGTAATTACATTAGATTTTATACGCATTCCATATTATAACCGGAGAAAAAACCATATAATGAAGTTATACAGGCATAATTACAGATTTAATACTAAAAGAAATTGGTAGTATTTTCCTGCAAATTCTGTGCTTATCAAGATAAAGGTATTAATAATGTATTTAACAATACTTAATACTTTGAGAAAGATTTAAGGTTACAAAAACAAATGTAACGCAATAGATAAATTGACAAAAACATTATTGTGAACAAAATAGCTAGTTAGTTATACAGTAGGCAATCACATTACATGGGACATCTATGTAACATGGTATTCTGCAGAACTTGCTACAATAAGTCTTCAGTTTAATTTGGAACGTTACTATAACTTATAATTCTGAATTTATAATCGTTCATCAAGTAGATAGCCTTCAAAATAAAATTATTAAGTCCTAAATTGATAAAAAACGACGACATATTTCGTAGACAAATTAAATTGAATATATTTTAATTCATAAAACGTAATTGTATGTATCTACAAGTACAAACATAATTCCCATATTACATATCTACAAGCAGACATGTGATTTAAAATTTTTGTAAAAACAAAAATCATTTTTGGCCATTCACCAAACCAAACCTATCTTTCTGACCACGAATACAAACACCACATACTAAATATCTCTGTTGTTAATATAGACCATTTTAGATTTACCGTAATTTCGGCTTTTACAGTAACAGGCATTATGTTACTACTAAGCATTATGTAATGCAAATAATACCTCGCCATTATTGAAAATGTTTATAATAGGCAAACATTACAGAACACAGGATGTGAACATAACATCAATTTCTCAACGCGGAGACACTAAATTAATACTGGTTAAATAGAATACGCGCTGGAAGTGTAATTTGCCATCTCTGTAAAGCTATAACGAGATAGTTTCTGTACATGAAATATTGTCGAAAATTTCAATTATATTAGTATTGACTTATATATTAATACACCATTTTTTTATTGTCGTGCTATTATTTACAGATATATTATTAACAGTAATAACTAAAGTTTATTTACTTATACTTTATTGTCCACAAAATTACAATGATATAATGTATATTAAATAAAGACGTAAAACAGACGACCTTAACTCTGTAAGAGTTCTCTTCCAACAAATCCTGAATAGAAAGGAGCATTAATTACCAGCGGGCAGTGTGCGTACAATAAAAAGAGGAAACAGTAGTTTCTATGAAGAAATAATAAATATATTAACATATATACAAAGTAACTTATATAAGGTTCATACAAGTACTATTTAATTTCAAGTGACTTCAGAAAGGAGGAGATCAGGTCAATCTTTTCTACTTCGCCAATTTCAAACCGGTAATAATTCCTTCTGTAATTGATAGAATTTACTCTCATTAATTTAACCATGATATGAACACGCATATTTCTGGAGAGCAAAACTCTACTAAGAAGTATGTTTTTAAGCAGAATATCTATTTCACATACTAGTGCTCTCTTCTCTCTAAACTTCTGTTAGACTTGTAATCATCACTTATTGATGGAATATAAAATTGTCATTCATAGGAGGTCTTTTGGTCTCTTACAAGTTAGACACAATAAAAAGAATACTAAGATTGTAAACTACTAACGATAGGAATCAAAACAATTGCATACTAAAGTAAAACATTTCAATACAAAATAAAGAAAGCCTGAATTTCCTTAAACTGTCCACGATATTGCGAAACTACACGTTACGAAATAACAAAGTATTATATATCGGCGTACTTTTATAGCTTCATCTGCAGCCGGTCCGTGTATCTACATCATATAGGTACTTACTAACTGCAGAGCTTATCAACTTTGACATTTGAAAGGAGAAATTGAATTTATATAAAGTACTGGATGTATCTTTCTGTAGTTTTAATATTATGTGACGTGACCACAGAAATTATTTGTTAACAAATCTACTTTCATCGGAAGTTGACAAATAAAACAATGACAGTGCTTTGTATAATTTTTTTTTTTCTATATAATAACTTTATACTTTCATGCAATTCTTTATCAGTTAATGATTTTACTGAAAAAAAAAAACAAACAATATATAAATAAATCAATTTATTTTAATAAGTGATCAGAATAATAAACTTTTTCTTCTGTTTGCAATAATGTAAAATAATGAAATATAATAATTAAAATGTACTACTTCTATCAGCAATAATAAGTCAGCGATCTACGTCTGATGTAGGCATAAGTAATATTCTCTACGTAACTAATAATACAATAAATAGAAATAAAAGTAGAGAAAACAATAATTAACTTGTATATACCTACAAAAAATATTTAAAAAAATGTAACAGAAAAGACCATCACCCGTCATCCATCATTGATCAGCCTATAATTCAATCGAGTAATTTTTCATACTTCTCTTCAAAAAGATGATGCAACCTAAACTAACAGAATGTAAAAAAAAATATATACTCATCAATAATAATCGACCTCGAAATAATTATTCGTATAATCGTTCGTCTTAATCATATCTGTATTGATATTTTTTATTCAATAAAAGTAATAAATAATCATTCTTAAAAGGAAGTTTAGAAAAGACCTAAAATTCAAATTAGCCATTTGATAGAAAAAGCTGACTAACTAGTCTACTAATAAGATTATTCGGTTATTCTGGTTTTGCGGTAGTTTTCGGTGTTAAAGCATCCGATATATTAATTACTTTTCGGTTGGCATTAATTGTAGAACTATATTCGAGTAAAAAAACATTAATCTAAAAAGAGGGTACATTTCAAAATAATTTCAGTACACCACTGCAAAACCAAATTATAATAAAAACAATAATATTGTATATGTAACTTACCACTATCTACACTCTCTTCTGAAACCTTCTTCACCATCTTGGTAATTATCTGATGAGGTGATACAGCGATATTGAAATATTACGAGTAGGTGTTCTACTCTTGAAAAGCCGCTTTCAAACTTGTGCGGCCGCCTTCTCGACGTGAAATCGGAACAATGTTAAAAGATAGAAAATAAACGTCTAAATTAAAATTTAAAATACAAAGCACCACCGTCGAGAAGGATTTACGGAAAGTGTGCCGGAAGGTAATAAACAAACACTGCTAGAAGGCGGAATGAAAAAAACTGCTGATGATGTTAACGATCCATCCTACACACGCCCGCCCGTCTGATGTTCTGAAATCCAACTAAAGAGTTTAGTTTCGTTGAGCTGTAGCGGAGCCGGCTCGGTCTGCGCCCCGCGCCCGCGCCCCGCCCTCTCCCCGCCGGCTACTGCCTGCCTGGTACGTCGTTGTGGCCTCTCACACCGACGCATGCGTACTCACTCGCACCGCTGACGTGTTTATGTTTTTTATACTTACTTAGTTTATATTTTTTTCTTTAATTGTCGTTAAACCAACGGAATAATATTATAAAATACGTGCTATATAACAAACAAGAATATATACGTTCTTTCCTTTAAATTGAATTGTTGATTCCCTGAATAAGTTCCATAATAAAATATCGTATTTACCTATATTAGTCTTTTCTAAACTAGGTATTGCTTAATTATTACATCATAGATAACTTTTCGTTCTTATAAGTTACACATATCTTCATGTAAACCTATGCAATTTAGCACTTCATTCATGCAATGCATTGCATCATTCCCACTTACGTGGCCATTCTCAGTCTAATTAGAATTTTATCTGCAATGATGATAACCAATCTTTATTTAATACAATAATTATAATAAATAATCCTTAAATAATTTGTTAATATTATTTTTTATATATTTAAGCAGTTTAATAAGGTTGGGTTCTATAATTATAAAATCTTTGTACAAAATAGCCCTAATAAATATTATTTTTTAATAAATAAATAAATTTAAATTTCTGTTCTAATATTTAACGATTTTTGATTGATAAAAATATTGTAGTCTATTTTGAATTTCATATATTTAAATACTTATAGTTATGTAAGTACTAATGTTTTTTTTTTCAATTCAATTTATATAGGGTTTCGGTATAATCTAAGGGTTTCGCTGTTTTGTGGTGTACATATATAACCTATGTCTGGTCGACTACAAGGTAAAGGGAACAAAGAAAAGCTTGAATGAATAGTACTGCGCGCAGTCATTACATCACCTCCTAAAAATATTACCATAAAGTTCATATTTGTTTGCCGCAGTTCGATTACTTACAGCTACATATTGTATTCTTATAGGATTCTTTGTTTAAGATGTTACGTAACGAGGACTCCTTTGTCCTAACCCTTCTATGAATGACCTTCAGGGCGTTTGTTGACAAACAAAATACGGGAGCGAATGCACAACGCAGATCGCACGTGGTATAGGCACAAAAACCGGTTCAACCGGCAGCCGGCGCCGCCATATTTGTTGTCACGCCATATTCCTGTCCTACTCCCACAGCAGTCTGTACTTTTCTGATGCTTTTATCTCTTTCGCACAGCACATCTCACTCGGACCGGCCTACGTGACTAACAATAACAATAACATAACCCTTTAAACTGAATCTATATCATGGAAGTACTAGATTCAGATAGAAAATATACCTTAACTTGATTTTAGTGCAATCAAATTAGATAGCATAGCTTCAATTGAAATTGTGCAACATTTAAAATAAAATGAGATCTTGATAACGATCAATCAAGGGACCTTTATGGTTTGAAAGGGTTGAAACAGCTGTGTTTTCCTAAGACACTCTGATATCAGGTGATATGCAAACTGTGTATATGATATCACTCGAGCTAGTTCCTTATCTCAATCAAACATGTCAAGCATAATGTTTTTTTCTTAAACAAGAAAAGTTTACATTACTCAGGTACCTGATACAGTGAAACTTGGTTAAGTGGGACCTGGATAAGTGAGAAACCTCCACAAATGGAACTCATACTGAGGTCCCTACCCATTGGCACTGAATTACCTCTATTAGTGGGGCGAAACAAACTTGTATATCTGCGATTCGTTCTTTCGATTTTATAGTCATAGTTACCTCTATAAATGAGACAGCGAGTGAATTTTATATGCATTAACCTCTATAACTAAGACATCATCAAATTGTCGCCTCTCTAACTTGGGCTATTTTGCATTTAAATTTGTTACTTGTTTATTCTTATTCTACCCGCAAATTCCGCACTTAACTAATTTTGGGCCTAAATGACCTTCAGTTTTAGTTTTGTTTTACTATCATACAGATGCTTATTTGAAAAATGCCACTGTTAATGCAGCCCTCTGTAAACAAGACAGATATTTATTTATACCTGGATATCTGAGACACTGTGCAAGTGGAACACCTCTATAAATGAGACAAACTTACAAGTCTCTTAATTTCTCACTTAACTAAGTTTCATTGTATCCGCTTGCAAGTAATAAATACCTAACATAATATAGGCGTGACCACATAAGACCCAAATTAAATTATGAATAATCACAGATTATCATAATCTTTAAACATGATTCTAGATATTGTAATGAAAACAAGTTTAAATTCTATACGTTTAATATTTCTTTTATAAAATATACGGGTACAAAAGAATGGCATATCTGTACATTATTTTGAAAACTTCAAAAGAAAATTTTTATATTAATCGTTTAGATTATCACTATAATTAGATGTTTACTCCATAAATATTTATAAAAACGCCATACCTCTCATAAACCTGTTTTAACTATTGAAATATTTTGTCCTTTTCTTTTGTACTAATTTCTCATTTTGAAAGACAGTGACCAAAACACTCTAATATTTAAAATAGGCATGCAAGAAGTTTTAGTTTTTATGAATAAGATGGTATTTGTAGATCACTGAGCAAGTACATAATCACATCATGTCATAATTTTAAAAGAAAATAAAACGGGGTTCTTTATTTAAAATAATTTAAATCAAATCAATCATTTTTAATTAGTCTGGTAGTAACAGTTGCCAGCTTTTCACTATTCTCTAATGCCCCATACATGACATCGGAATTCATAAGAAAGATGATTTTTTGAAAATTCACAAGTGTTATGAGAGACTCTAAAACTAAAGGAGATAGAATATGCTTATAAATATAACTCTTTGAGATTGGTAACAGTTAGGTCACACCTGAGAATTATATTGATCTATGTATTAGATCAATTTTTTTCTTCATTAACTATCAAGAGTCGTAAACGGTATTGAATCATTTCTAAAAATAATTAGATACCGAAAAATTTGAGGACATTGTTAAATTTCTAATTTCATCTATCAATTCTAGATCTCTCTAGGTTACTGATAAAAAAAATTTTATGCATGTGATTCATTCAATTTATATTGTATGACAAAACAGCTGTCATCATAATATGAACGATGTCACTGAAGTAAGGTACACCGGTATAATTATCAAAAATCTTTTCATGGTAGATAAGTGACATACTTACCTACCATGAAAAGATTTCTGATTTAATCTCCTTCTGATAAACTACGATAATAAAAAAAAACAGTCTAATTTACATAAAGACAATTGTTTCTTAATTTTATTGTTTATTTAAATGCTGTTTTTATTAATATTACTGCTAGTACAGTATTATTGTTTGCAATTTTAGTTTATGACAGTTCTAATATATTTAAACTCAAAAAAACCGACCCTTATTATCGTAATTTCCAAGAATTACCACTCCCTCAAAATCAATATTGCGTCAACACACTAAGGGCAGATTTTTATGCGCCAAAGATTATGGAGGAACCGTTATCAGAATTAGGAGATTTCCTTTGTTCCGGAACCTAAATAAAAGCTTATTCGAGTACAAGCTTCTACCGTGTTTATGGGGAGTTTGTTACACGCCCGCATTTAGCTGCGACCGAATCAAACAAAATGATCGTTACAATTGCTTTATGAGAGAGTTAAAATAATTCTAGTATAAGTAGAGTTAACAGTTATTAACTAGAGTTAATACTTAATAGTATATTAAGTAATTTTAATATTAAACGTTTGGTAAGTACACATTATATTTTAATTTAAAAAGAACCGGATCAACTTACGTGTACTAGTTTACCGCTCATGACTAAGGGTCCCGTATGGTCCCGAAACTAGTCGATCGTTCTTGACTAAAATAAGTAACACCTAAGTTAATTCGATTGTTCTTACATTAAAGTATTATATATATTAAGTAGATCAGTATTTTACCTAACAACAAATAATACTACATACAATGAAAGTCAAGATATTTTGTCTCTACAATTTGCTTTGTAACAAGCAGTTTTTCTATTCCACAATTGAAAAGGGCAGTTTCAATCTTCACAAAATTAATAATGCGGCCATCGCGAGAATAAACTTTATTAATTTATAATTTCAAAAAGAATTATAAAAATCAGATACGAATTAACGTCGTAAAAAAATATTGATGAATTAAGAACCTATTTCTTTGTAATCGTTCAATTAAATGTGTTAATGTCTATAGACGACGGTTACTTGACAACTTTCCATCAGATGGACCGTCAGTTTGATTACCATTGTAAATCTAATAAGAAAAAAATATATATATATATAATAGTCAGTGCTTATTTAATAGCTGAATTAACGATAATGTATATTTCTTACCATATAGCCTCTGGGTCCGTTTAATAAGGAGGTGTGCCTTCTAATCGTAAACCGATAGTAAACCTATGACGTCAAAGGATAGCGTGCACGTAGCGCCAAAGGAAAATCAATATGGCGTCGCTAGACGTCATCAGGTATAAACAACTATATTATGTATGGAGTGTGTTTTTCAAAGCACTTACTTTCTTCCACGCACAACCACGTTTTGGAATTAACAATCAGTATTGATATTTCGCCATATTTATATCGCCAAACCGCCTACTAAGTATGGCAACAACTGGCAAAACTCCCCTTATGGAGAAGGCTTATGTCCAGCAGTGGACAGTTAAAGGCTGATATGAAGATGATTGATATTTCTGAACCGATACGACATTTCAACGTACAAGAAAAAATCATATTCCTTTTTAAAATGCCGGCAGCACACCTGCAATTTCTCCGATGTTGCGGGTGCTCATAGGTGGCTATAGTCGCTTACCATCGGGTGAGCCGCATGCTTATTTGCCCCCTGTGTTATAAAAAAAAGTTACTTATATAAAAGATGACATAATTTAAATAAAATGCATTGATTATTGAATTAATTTACTCAATAAATATAATATTGCAGATTCAAAGACAAGTTGATCATTTTTGGAGAAACCTAATTAGA